TGTAGTTAACAGCCGCAGGAAACGATCGACAAGACCTGACGACTTTCATCCACCAGTCCCTACTCGATCTCCGGAGCGTCAGTCGGTGCAGATTCCTCCATCATCTAGCTATGGAGGCTATCCGCCGACGGCCCGAGATTATGGGTACTACGCTCAGCAGCCGCCAGTCAAGCGTCATCGTACTTCAATCGACTATGGCAGACAGCAGGGCATCTATGATGTGGATGGTCGAATGGCCCGTCAAATGGATCCATACAGCCAGTCAACGGCTGCTATGTACGCTGGCCAGCCAGCTACCTACCAAACGCCTGCCGCCATGCAGACCTACTCCACAGGACAGGTGGTGCCTGATTATGCGGCGGTTCGTATCCCCCCCTTGGCAGTTGGAAGCTCTTTGAGCTGACCTTGGATAGATGTACCCGGGAATGCAATCATCAGCCGGCATGCAAGCAGCCCCCATGTCCCAGATTCCCGATCCTACCGGTCAAAGCCGATCCACCCAGCAGCAGCAGGCCGCTGTGGGACAACTGATGGCGATGAACCAGCCTGGTACTCCTGTACGACACCCCTCTGCGAACCAGTGAGAGTGGAATAGAATACCCAGCTAAGGATTTTGGACCCGAGACAGACCCCGGATTCGACAGGGATGATGGCTCAGGGATATGTCCGAACTGGCTTACCCCCTAGCTCGTCTATACTTCCTCCTCTACAGCGGAATCGCGACTATCCCCAAGGAACCAATGGATCCACACGCGCTTATTTCGACCAAAACCAGGCGAATACCCCTATTCTTCCATCTCAAATGGTTGACGGCGATCGATTTGGCTCCGTGGCCGGCCCAGCCACCTTCGATCACCCCGATTCCCCGAATGGAACGCCCCAATGATTTGCTTGACGTTCTCGACGTTCTGGCTTGATATTATCTTTTCTTTTTTTTTTCCTTCTGTCTTGATAGACCGGGAGGACTGTTTCATTATTCTCTTTTTTATGCTTGATGCTTTAACTGGGTGGCTAAAGGTTTTTATTTTTACAGGCGCTGGCGGATAAAAGGGGGAGGTCTTTCTTTCATGGGATTGGGAGAAAAGTGAGATTATTCTTAAGCCCTTCTTGTATATACAGGCCCTTAAAAGCAGTATCACTGGCTAATTGCAAGTGCTGCTTCTCGTGTTTTTTTTTTAATTGACGATGTAAGACTTTGATGATCTGATCTTTCCAAGATGATAGACAGTAGGGATGTTGTGGAACTTGATACGAATAAGCATAAACCCATCACTTGGGATGGTTTACTATCTTGACGTGCCTTCCTAATGTTTGCTACCTTCCACTCCCTCTCCCTCTTCACTTCTCTACTCCCTACTCTACTCCCTATCCTTTTGTTTTTCATCATATTTCCTCTGGTGTATCTTCCCTTTCTCATTTCCTCATCATCCCCATTTCATCTCCATTTCATCTCATGGAGCCTACCATGGACGTCACCATGAACCCCAACGACAGCCCTCTCAGCAACCTCGATGTGTGGTGCGACTGGAGTGGCATTCCAGAAGAGCCAGTGTCTATCACGATCTCCATGGAGGTAACGCTGAAAAACCAACCCTCAAGTTGGGTCTCAGTACTGACTGTCATCTGAAATGAATTAAGCTACAAACCTGCGGCCGTCCAAACCTGAATCTACCAATTCTCAATGTCCAGTCGCCAAACACCACCAAAAGCCCGTCTTGGGTCATCGAGTTGAAGCCTGAAGCCCAATCCCACTATGAAACCGACACTCCACCTGAGAAAGAGGCTTGGCGGTTTGGCCAAGAATATGCTGATGAGACCGAGAGATACCCTACCGATAATATCTCTGCTTCTGATTTTGGGAGCGTCGTTGTTCACGATGGTTCGCGGGATGATGATTCTCGGCGTATCTCTCGTCGTACTGATAATATCTCGGGGATGCACACTCGGGTCGATAGCTCGGATAGCTCAACCCTCTCTGACCTTTCCAAGAGTCAGGTCAACAGCCTGGGTAGCCCGAGCTCTGCGATACCTCGGAAGAGATCTGCCAAGGCTGCTTCTCTGCCTGACTCGATTCCTCCTGACGATGAGTACCAAGGCACCCGACGCAAACTTATGATGAACAACATCGACCTGCCGAGCACCATCGAGAACACCGCCAACTCCACTCGTACTCACAGGCGTTCTGCTACTCCGGACGAATCCAGCGTGGTGCTGGAGAACATGCCGTTGCCTCAAGACTCGGGGCCGAGTCATGGGCCAGGTTCCCCGAACGTTGCATCGGAACATCTCTCGCGAAACGGCAATGCAGCGGCGGTTGGAAATGTACCGGAGCCCGATGAAAACTCTCCTTGGTGCAATGCAGAAACTCCTCTCAGCACGACTGACTTGAGCGGCACCGAGCCGCTTACCGAAGAGAACTTGCTTCAGCGGAATTATGATACACTTTCTACTTGTGTGTGCCACGGAAGCATTTCTGACACCGAAGAAAGTGACAAAGAAATTGAGACCTTGTTTTTTCCTCTTGAATCCATCGGATCGGCATCATTTTTCTCATGTCATGGACTCCCTCTGCCCCAGACGGCTGCAGAAATTGCCGAAAAGCACAAGCCCAAGATCGTATTGGACAATGACATTCTTTACCTGCAAACCCCTCCCAATATCTACCCTGCAACATACCAAATCGCGATTTCGCTCACGGTCAGGCTACAGAAAGGGAAACCGTGGGATTGGTGGGAGTTGGTCGTTAGTGGACTGCCTCGACTTGCCCAGTCCGAGTCTGGTTATCTCTACTTCCGAACACCCCCGGGTCAGGGAATGGAATTCATGACCTCGTCTTTTAAAAGACATACGCTCGTGGAAAGCTGCTTGATGGCCCAGTTCTACGGTGGAAGAAACCTCGTCATTCCGTTCCGGAAGTGCGATGCAGAATGCTTCGGACAACTCAAGGACCACAAAGTCAACACACTCATACGGGCCGAAGTGGCAGAGGCTGGCGACCCATCGTCCTATCTGATCAAATACAACGCTGCTTGCTCCATCGATCTCATCAATCATAACTTCTGGGCCGAGCAGTGCAAATTCTGCATTTTTGTGCATGGCGGCCCGGACGGCGAGTTTGACGCTGTTTTTACATCTAAAAAGCCTCTGATCAATTCTATTCAGCTGCCAGCGGCAGATGGGACTGGAATCTCGCGCATCAATATTGTCAGCATCCCTCAAGCTCTGGACATGTTCACGGTGTCGTGGGAAATCAAGCTGCCACGAGGCAAGGCTGTCACCTGGTTGCCATGGATCAAGACCACGCTCAGCTGCAGTGATGCTGAAACTGTTCTCCAAGAAGATTATGCCATTTATGCCCCTGGTTATGAATTGACCAAGCAGGAAGCTGTACCTTCAAAGTATCAGAATGCTGATACTAGGTGCGAAGTTTCATGTGGTCAATTGGGAGATATCTGTGTTCCCGGGCTTAACCATTCTAAGCTCGACGTCGAGATAACTCCACCATATCTCCAAGATGGTTCCATTCCCAAGTTTGGACTGACTGAGCCTCTATTTGGTAAAATTCCAGCTTCGAGGTCTACAAGTACGCAAACCGTTGCGGAAACTCCAGCTCCTGTATCGACAGTTTTCGAGACTCTAGTCGCTGAGCGAACGAAGTCACGCCGTGTACGCGGTCTGTGGACCTTATGGACCCTGATTAATTTCTTTTTTCAATTGCTTGTTTTCCTGGCGTCTGTCCACATCATCTCCTCGTCGTACTTTTTGCTCAGCCATGTCTCCCGCGAAGCGCATGTCTATGGCCCAGTGAACTACGCAGGAAATCTTACTACCAATGCTGATGTGGTGCAAGAGACGGAGACTGTCCTGGCAGAGTCAAATCTTCAGCTTGAGCCCATTCAACCTGAAGTTCAGCAGCATGTCAATACCACACCTGCCGAGGTCACCCCAATTTCTCTGAGAGACCGCATTGATTACATTCTTGGATGGCGAGGACCAATTGCGCGGGAGTAAATTTCGACGATGGGATGGTTCAGTATCGTTAACGGGAGAATACCGGGACATGATGGGAAACCGCAGAATCAGGTGCAGCCTCGCTGCCGTTAGCAGATAGCAAACATAAAGACAATTATCTATTGATGATCCACTGTATACGTAGTTATATTTACTCCATCTGAGTAGTAACATCAGTCTTAACCTTAACCATCCGAATAAGCTTAGTCTCCGCTAGACCCTGGATCCAGCTCTTCTTATCCATGGATCCTCTGACCCTTAGTAACCACCAACCAAGCACCCATGGATAGATGATCCGTCGCGTACCGCGGTCAAAAACGTCATCCACATACCTAGGCGGATGGACCCGGAGATCATCCTCGGTATCAAGATGGAACCAATCCTCCCGAATAACGTTGTCGACTTGTAATCCTGATATACTCTCAACTGCTTGCAATACCTCGGGCACCTCGGCCCATATGACTAGAGAATTTTTTATTTTTATTTTTTTATTGTTTTCGGCATCTAGAATAGAGGCAGAACTAGGTTTAAAGGCATACCTAATTAGGGAAGAGTATATGATACATTCTTACGTGTTGGTTGTGATGTAGTGTATAGAGGGATAATCGAGAACAAAGAAACTTAAAGCCTCTAACATCCATTTTACTCGTTGTGTCCTGTATCTGTCTATAGAGGAATTTGGTAGCCTGTTTACTGAAGCCTAATCTTGAGCGAACTGGAGATACTATTACCTTGTTGAGTTGAATGACCTCAACAACGGTGGTATTGCCATACCATGTTTGACCTCGAATTATCACTACTTACCCCGATTATCCTTATGTAGTGAGCATTTAACCTCTGAAACGCGCCACACTGTCTTGTCAGATGGCGAGGGCTAATTGCGAATCAATCTTTGATAAGGTAGCTTAGTATAGCTACGAAGGAGGCAATCACTGCAGCTAAGAGACAACAGAAATATATTACTCTAGTTCATGTATATAACTCTATACCTACGTCTGATCTAAATAATATCCCAGAATCAGCTCGACAGCCCACCTTAAAACAACATCCATTCCTTCCCTCCCATATCCCGGCGCAACCTCGACCCCAACATCAGTCCTAGCCCTAGTCCCATCCCCAACCCTCCGAACAAGATCAGCCTTCTCTTGATCCTTGCTCTCACCCTTCTCCTCTTTATCTCCATCCTCGGCAATCAACAACCAAGAATGATCTATCACATACTGCGGCCAAACAATATCATCCACATACCCAGGCGGATCGACCCAGAAATTCTGCGGTGGCCGATCATCCTCAGCATCAAGATCAACCTCCGTCCTCGTCTTTCCCCCCGCCCCTTCCCCACCCGCACCCGCACCCGCAGTATCATGAGTATGAACTGGCGGTTGCGGCGCCGGCCCAACAGTCACATACCCATTCCTCCCCTCGCGCCTCGCCTTAACAAGCTCATACGGCGCCGGCAAAAAGAGCCGAAGATGAATAGCATCACTAACAGAACGAAGCACGTGCCGTTCCTGCCCAGGCGGCGCAAACAGCAAAAACCCCTCTAAGAACGAAACCGTCGGGTTCGCCGTGCTGTCCGCTGCTGCTTCCCCGCGCAACCGCGCATCAACCTCGTCCCGCAACTTCTGCACGACCTCGTCCGACACGCCGGAATGCGTCTGGTAGTTCTGGTCTTCCTTGCTCCGGAGGCGCGGCGGGAGTGTGCCGTTTTCGCGCACGTAGTGGAGTGCTTGCGAGAGGAAGGGGATGTCGATTGCGGCAGCTGTGTCCCAGTCTTGGATTTTTGCGCCGGTGCGGGTGGTTGTGTAGGGGATTCTGGGGTGGGTTAGGATGGGGTTGGAGGGTTGTTTTCACTTAAGATGGGTATGTGTATTGAGAAGGAAGTAAAGGTGTACATACTTGTCGTCCGGGAAGTAGAAATCGTCTTCGTGGATTATGAACGTGTTTAGATGGGTGTCCTTGGGCTTGAGATTCACCCCGCAGAATACTCGCTGCAGTAGCCGCGCCAGGGTTGTCTTGCCACTGCTCGAGGGCCCGGAGATCCCTATTATCACGGCTTTCCCGTCGGCTGGCTTGCTCATTTTTTTCGCTTGGTAATTTCGGGGGAATTGGAGAATTGAGAGCCTTCCATGCGGGTGAGGGGTGTTGTAGGAAAAGCTTATCTCTTATCGCTGACCTCATAGCTCAGGTTACCTCGGGGCTATACATGGAAGTCCTGCGGTTTAACTATGCTTTTTACTACTTTGTATACATATGAAAAGACTTAAAGAACATACAGAACCAGTAGGTGGACTTACATATAATCGTGATCACTGAAATCTTATGTCACTATTCCAACTGCATGAGTAGATTTTGTCTCGGACTATATACTTTACGCTACGCATAAGCATGAACAGCAGTGAAAAATGAATACGCTAGTATACTTAGCTTTAGACAGTGTTACATCCATGATGCGGGAAACAATACCAACAAAGATCTAGAAAATCATCCTTTCACACTTCTAGGCATCGTGGCATTTAATGAAGAGAACACCTGGGCAGTACCTAGGCGAGGTGGTACACCTAGTTTCAAGGTTAGTTCCTAATGTTTTAAGGCTTATTCCGACAAAGGACATTTCTCTTCTTATCTTCCCAAAACATCTGTCTTACTTATTTGCTTTTACGTGTATTCAAGTATTAAACGTATTCTCAAAACAACTTACGTAGGATCGGTGCGATCACTAAATTTCTGCTTTGAGCTCACTGAATCAACAACCCAGAGCTTCAAAGTAGCAGAATTTACCAACTCGGCGTTACTCTCTAGCGAAAATCTAGAATTTTCCACGAGGATCTATCATGAACCTCCTCATCTTATTTTCGACCTGATAAATGCTCGTCTTCTAAGAATACTTTCATTTCAAAATATTTCACATTCAAAAAATCTTATGTACGAAAACCAGTCCCAAGATGAGACAACTTAGGAGTCTTAAATTATCAAAGACTTCCATTTTAGATTCATGAGAAGGAAATCATCTCACTCTGAGCCTTCACTGCAGGCCCATCATTGACCAGATTTTCGTATAAGAAGGGCTCCTCAAGTAGCTGAGCTTCGGCAAGTCCCAGCTGCCAACGGTCAAAAGCAGGGCGCGGAATGATTGGTGTCGTCCACATGCCATCGCGACGGAAAGAATTGGTCACAGCAACAGCGACATCAACTGGGATATTGGGGAAGAGTTCGACGAGCTCGTCCTTGTATGATTCTGCGTCATGTTCCAGAACCCATTCGATACCCTTACGGAGGCCTAAGCAGAACCGCCTCTGTGCATCAAGGCCCTCGGGCGTGATGGTCGCGGTCTCCTGGTAGTATACACTCCATGGAATTTCACCTTGCGAGACCATTTGCATCGCAACGGAGATTTTGGGATTCCGCTCACTCATCGCCTTGGCCGAGAGGTTGTCCGTCACGAAATAGTCGCCCATTCCCCCTTCAAACAACTCGCCCAGCATCTTCCCATCGAGATCCTGGATATAATCGACAGATCGGTGGTCAACCTTGTTCTCGCGTAAAAACATTTTGAAGAATAGACCGGCGCTGGCTCCGCCGATACCCTTCATCAAAACTGTCTTTCCAGCCACATCCGCGATCTTGAAGTCTTTTGCCGGGCTACGACAGAGCAGGGCAAGAGGGCAGCGATTCGCAATTTGTGCAAAGACCGTGTAGTCTTTCACCCGGTTGCGGTACATTGCCGGCACCCAAATGCCACCAAGAGCCATGTCGGCTGTGCCATCAGCGAGTGCATCAAGGACGCCGTCCCATGGGTTGGGAATAGAAACTTTGACATCGAGTCCTTGCTCCTCGAAAAATCCATGTCGACGTGCGATATATTCAGGGAGATAGTTTAGGTTGTGCCCAGTAGCAGTAAGATTGAATGGCTGCATGATGGATTCTTAGCAACTTTAAAAGTGAGCCAGGCAAAAGAGATTGTAGTTGAGAAAAGGATGTATTTGAGAATGACAGCAGTTCACCCAAGGTTAAGTACCTCCCGATGGCAAGACCTTTGCTGTTGGAGGTTTTGCATCATGATGCAAACCCGATTCGGACTAATCCAATGCAGATTAACGAGTCGATCGGCATAAGCCGAGGAATAAGCCGATCGGATTATAAAGGGATACGAAAAAGGTCCGATGCCTATATAATGTCGTTAAGCTTTTATTATCCATCAGAGATTATCCCCTATGGTATAGATGATGTGATGACATTGAAGATGTGTAAAGTCTCCTATTCATGTTAGTTCGCAAGTACCTGATTCACGTGACCTTGCTTTGCAAGGAATTTCGGTTGTCATATCATTATCCCAACAAATACCTAAATCTTAGATTGAGTTAGATACATATACCTAGCATATATCTTTGATCTCATGATCTTTTTCGTCCTGAGAGAGTCGGATTAGTCCGGTGGCGTCTCGAGACTAGCTGCCGAGGTTGCAGGATCCTTATCTTAACCAGATCGACGTATCTATATCACAGTACACAGATATATATTATTTAGGTATACAACTGGAAGAACCCATGGACATCTTGCTCCTTCTTGATCAAAGAGAAAATATTTTGAACTTCCCACTCGTGACTTGCCGCAAATATTTGCTATGTCGTCTCCGGAATCCGACAAGAATTCCCTCCAGGGTGATGCGAAGACCCCAGAAGAGATCAACCATGAAGTCGGCGAGATTTTATCGGAAATATATATCGACCCTGAGAAAGAGGCAGCTGTGTTGAAGAAATTTGATAAATTTGTCCTTCCGGTCTCGGTTGTCTTCCTAGTTCTCTCCTCATTGGACCAGAACAATGTGAGTAAAGCCTCAGTTCGGAGTAACAGTACACTCTCTAATATTTACCAGATGGGTAATGCTAGAGTATTTGGCTTCGATAAAGATATCGGACTCAAGGATGGTCAATTTGGCAATATCACACTGCTGGCCAATGTTTGCACCATCGTTTTCGAAGTGCCTTGGGTTTTAGCTGTCAAGCGTTTCGGTGCTAATAAGCCTCTGGGAGCAGCATTGATCCTGTGGAGCTTCTGCACTCTTGGAACTGCTTTTATCCAAACTTACCACCAGGCTATAGCCGTTCGCATGCTATTGAATTCCTTTGAAGCAGGTCTTGCTCAAAGCTTCGCCTACCTTTTTTCTACTATCTACCCGCCAAGCTTGATAGGAAAGCGTATCATGTCGACCAATCTTGCAATGTGTATCTCAGGTGCCTTTGGTGGGCTTTTTGCATATGCTGTGCAGACCATGGGAACTCAACGTGGTCTCGCAGCCTGGAGATGGCTATTTATCGTTGAATTCTGCGTTACGATTTTTGTTGGCGCCCTCGGCTTACTTTGTCTCCCGAAAACAGCTGAAACAGCGTGGTTTTTGAATGACGAGGAAAAAGAAATAATGCGTCTTAAGAGAGATCGAGACTTTTTGCGCAGGGGAGAAGAGAAATTCGAACGAAAGTGGATCAAGATCGCTCTCACAGACCCTTTTGTCTACCTTCTTGGTATCGCTTTCTTTACCTCATCGGTTTCTATCAACGGATTCAACGTTTTCCTACCCACTATTCTTTCTGGGCTTGGATTCCCTTCTCTTTCGGTCAACTACCTAACTATCCCAGTTTACGTTCTTGGCCTGATATCACTTGTTATTCAGGTGTACTTTTCTGACAGAATCAGCCGACGGGGTGTTTTTATCATCGGATGCTGTGTTCCAGTCGTAATTGGATATCTTATCTGTGTCGGTTCAGCAAGTGGTGCTGCTGGTTATACAGGAATGTTCATTCTCGTCTTAGGTAAGTGTGATCTAGCCTGTTGCAGATGTTTACTCGAAGTCTAAACCTAAACTTTGTCTAGGACTCTATCCAATTTCCACCCTTGCTGTAACATGGATATCTATCAATCTCCAGCCAGACTCCAAGCGCGCAATTGGAATGCCCATCGCATATTCTATAGCAAATCTCTCTTCACTGGTTTCTTCCCAACTATACCCCAGTCAGCAGGGCCCAAGGTATATAACTGGCAACGCTGTCTCTGCTGGTTTGACAGTGGTTGCTGGATTTCTGTATGCCTCATGCTGGGTTCTTCTCAAACGCAGAAATCAAAAGAAGGCGAAGCTTCTTGCCGAGGGAGCGACTACAAATGGGCTTGAAGGCGATATGAGCCTTGACACCATGTACAGCCTTTGATCAGCGAATGTCTTCTTTGTGCTTCTTTATTCTTTGAGCAAGTGTCTATGCTAGAAGCTTCTAGCATAGTGGTATTACAATGAAATTTGGTCTTTATGTCATACTGCTCACATGCTATCATGCTATATAGACCCGTAGGAAGTAGAAATCTGTTCAACTCGATTCATTCAGGTCAGCACAAACCTGAGTTCCTGGTTCAGATCAACATCTCGAAATTTTAAAGGACTCAACGCCGTTGATATGGGTATACATACCAATGAATTTATCTAGCATGGGGATAAAAAGCACCTAGCTGTGAACATTGAATAATACGCTTCTAAAACGAATATGAATCCTCCTAGCACAGTGACACTGAAGACCATCGCGCGAAATCCATATTTATCCCCTTTCCACGTACTGCGTAACGAGGTACTCATTAAAGAAAACCCAAAGTTCAATCAGTGCTGGGAGGCTCGAAATTCGACAATGGGAACATGTTGGTTATCTGAAAACCACTTGTATTCCAAGTGAATGTGGCCAATCAGAGGTACATTTTTGCTTTTCCTAGCGATGCGGTGTGTTCTACTTTTTCAAATCAAAGAAATTAATTAGGGACAGAGTGTAGAATTAACAGTTGGTTCTGCAATATTTGTTTTAATTGAATCCATAGCAGGATGGCGGAATAGCCTGTACAGAACACTTTTCTGTATCTTGGCTGGTGCAAAACTTTGCAGAACAGCCTTTTCAAGACAAACAGCAATTGAATCATACCAAACCACGAGCTTTAGCTCGTCGATCACGCATCTCGGCCGCACAACCGTCTTTGTTATAGATACCGTTCACAGACGGATGCTTCATGGCAGCCTGGGCCCACGCGAAGAATTTTGGCGCCTTTTCTTCCATGCCAGCTACCATGGTATTTGGCAACGGCGCATTTTCGGTATGCGGCAGCGTGGAAATCCGCAGGATAAAGGAAGCAGTCAGAACCTACAAGCCGTTTCAGCTTTTCCAAATCTCGGTTGCCTGGGGAAATAACCAAACACGAAGTTTCAAAAGGGTTGGAGAGTAATTACCTCGGCCATAGTCAGCTTGTCACTGCCACCAAAGAAGGGTTTCGCGTCTTGCAAGAGTGGCTCGACCTCTTTGACGACGGCATCAACATACCGCTTGCCGAGCTCATCGGCATCCTCATCAGTTTTGGCTTCGATTGCCCGGTAGTAGTAGATATTGGCCTTTGAAAAGTATGTTTCGACAAAGAAGGCGATTCTGTGGCGTATGAGGGCTCCTTGGGCTTCTCCAGTGCGTGGAGTCAAGTGCGTTGATGTGACTGAGTCAGCTAGAAACTGTGCGATAAAAGCTGACTCGAATATGATATGGTCGCCATATGTCAATGTGGGAACTTGTCCACGAGGGTTGATCTTGAGATACTCGGGCTGCCTAGGTTTGCTGTAGTCAATGATCTCCTCCTCGAATGGTAGACCCAGCTCTGCCAGCACAATATGAACACGGTGTGCCCCTGCGAGTCATTGTCAGTATTCTGCAGCAAAAATGGACTCGGAGAGCATACATGGGCAGTTTCGATTGGTAAAGAGTTTAATTGACTCCCTAGTAGCCATGATGAATTTTCTCCGTATAGAAGAATAGTGGCCAAGAGAGCCTTATTCAACTGGTAGGGGTAGCTATATACTCAAGTAATTTGCCTATGTAGATTGGAAAGAGGAGCGATACAGTCATCACATGTCTGCAAATTCTCTTCCCAACGAAGCTGTCTATCTATCTACTCCACAGTAGTAGGGCAGCATCGCTTTTCTCCGAAAAAGTTACTGGCTGTGATTGGTATACTGATTAGCATATAAGCGCCAAATCTCCGTCGGAAATCTCCGATCATGGTCATTATTTCTGCATGAGAGGAAGGTTAACTAAATAACGTAAGTTCCGAGCGAGCGGGCCACCCTGATGTGAATTGCTATGCAGATAGTCACACAAGGAGACGCCCCCTGGAGCGTGTATTACCTGGAAACTGCAACACTTACTCCAGAGGTTCTCGATACACAGAAGCAATTATGCATCGCTCCTCCAATCTCTGTGAGTCCAATGGATTACGCACAGGTCGAACTTACTGCATAGTCCAAACAGTCGTATCACCTAGAAGACAATTCTTGAATCGTCTACTTGAGCATGAAGCTACCGTCATGTAAAGCGAAGTGTAATTCGCCAAAGGATGTATATTACATTGGAAGAAACGTCGTTAGTCATAGCTATTCATTAGATCGATTTTCTAGCCTAAGAAAGTATTACAAGGAAATATGAGATCCTCCTCTTGCAATTGGGTCAAAGCCCATGTCATTAAACCCGCTGTGCTGAGGCTCAGGCCATTGAGCAGCACTACTGAACATCTCGCTGAAAACAAAGCTATCAGCCGACAACATGCCTGACATATCCATTCCATTACAGTCATGTGCTCTGCGAGAAGGCTGTAGCCGGTGCAGGACGTCCTCTGCTTGTTTCTCGAACTCTTGACGGCCATGGTGTAGTTCCGCAGCATTATTATTAACTAGCCAATCGACTGTTGCTTCCGATAGAGTATCAAAAGCATCACGGCAGCCTGAGACCCCCGGGAAGCTCTCAGCCATTGCAGCAAGTGTCGAGGCGCAGGATTGCAGCGCGGAAATGCTACTCCCAATCGGATTCCGGTCTCGCACTTCTTTCGACTGCCAAAGGCTGTATATCACCCCCAGGCCAGCCATAAAGAGATGATGGGCCGATTTCCAGAGTATATCAACCTTCCCTTCTCGTTGTAGGGTTTTGATACTTCCTATAAGTTGACAAGAGGCTTTAAAAGAGAGGACTGTTGCTTCCGGGGAGGTTTGTGATCCGGTAGAATTGGGCCGGTAAAGCAGGATAACTGCGTTGTTATATAGATAGTCCCAATACGCCTGATATGCAAATATGGATGATGGGTGAGCCTTGGTAGTCTGCGGAATAGTGGCGTACCATTCTTCAAGACGGGGTTGGATATCTTGAAGCCACACTGCATAGTTTGCCCTAGGGTAGGCTATTTTCGGAGCCCAAACTTGGCTGTGTTGCACATGTTTGATCTCAGACTCAAGCATCGATAAGCTAAACATGTGGTTATGAGCTCGTTGGCTGTAGATATCAAATCCGGTGGATTCGCTGCTAGATGCTCCTTGATAGACAGCCCATGGATTTGGAAGTGGCACACGCATGCTTTCGTCGATGATACCAAAGGGCCGACCGAGCGTGATGCATAATATACGGTCAAATTGATATGTAGAGTACCAGAGACGTCGGTGATCGTATAATACAGCGGGATCCACACTCGTAGCCTGATCTTCGCTTTCCCAATGTAAGCCTATGTCAATACATAAGCGTAAAGCGATACCGGTCAGATGCCATAGACTCCCTCGGGAAGGGCACAATGCAATAAATTGAGCCAACAGAAGGATAGTGCGCAGAGTCTCGATATCACTTTCCAAACTCGTAACGACCTTTTCGTACAAACTGAGGGCTGATTTGAAGCACCCCTCACTCTGGCTTGGTCGACCTCCAGATGGGTTTGAAACGTCACAGAGGGCGATAGCGAAGATCATAAAAGACATGAAAATATCCGTTTCTACTGCTCGGTCCGGAAGGTCCCGGCCACTCGCGGCTTGGTATGCGCTTTCTATGGCCTCCTCAACTCTTGAACGCTTCACAATGGGTAAATGGGGCGTTTGGTACTGGAAGTAGACATCAACCAGGTGGTCTGCAGCATGACGCGGTGGAAGAGAAGCCTCGGCTGCCATCGAGGACGACGAATGATTATACGAGCGTGGCTCAATAAACAGGGGAGAGGTCAAGGCCTCGACGCGGATTGCTGATATGACCAACTTGGCAAGGGTGATGCCGCCGCTCTGTCCTAAGAATCGTGGCTGCCTTGACGGCTCGACAACAACATCACTGACGCTCTTCACCAAGTTTTGCACATGATTTGAACTTGCATCAGACGCGGCCAGACTTCCCGGGGAGAGGTTGTCGCGTGGGGTAGTCATCTCATCATTAACCGAAGCAGACTGGGCTCGTGCTCTCAGTTCGCGGTTCTGCCGAGTCAACTTCTCGACCTCTGCCTCTAGCTCCGACACATAGTTACGAGGAACCTTCAAGTATGTCAGTTAAGTGCGGTAATATTATAGCTCTTATTAGAAAGACTCACCGTGGATTTATTCTGTGAGTGATATGTCATGCATGGGACACCTGCGCCTTCGCAGTTGGAGCAACTCGGATGCCTCAAATCACACTGTTCAACAAATTGTCAGCAATCAGATTGTCGGCCGAGGGCAAACAGTATGGCTACCTTCTGCTTTCTCCGACGACATCTAAGAATTAGTTTAGCCCCGAATCATCTACCATACGAACGATATTGGGTCACCTACCTCAGACAAGCAGTTGCTCCTTTTCCTTTCGCTAGCCTTTCGGCCGGAGGCAATGACGATTGCATTTGCGACATTCTAGATGAGAATCGGGATCAACAAATGATATGGAGAATAGCTGCTGGCATGGCCTGGACGGGGTTTCATGGTAGGTTACGAAGGCAATATGAATTTGAATGCTCCATCGGAGAAAGCCGACTTACCCCAGGGTGGTTGCGATAATCTCTATTCGGCTATGTCCGATCGCGCGTCTTATCATTTTCAAGCTTATCGAGATATCAAGGTTCAGATTATGTCAGCATTTATCGAATATCACCATGACCGAGACAACAATCGTCCATGTCTTCCGGCGTATACGTTGAACTGGCAGTATGAGTATCTGAGCATGGAGTATATAGTGACGCCACTGGAAGTTCATGATCGTCTTCCCTCCAGAGGCATCTGACTTCCTGCAGAACCTATCCCCAGTACAAGCCGTCCCAATGGACTTTGATATAAAGACTGAAGATACAAAGACCACAGTCATCGACACTGAGGTCAGCATTGCGGCTCGGTCTAATGAGGCTAGCTCAACTATCTACATTGATCCCCAGAAAGAAGCAGCCGCACGAAGAAAATTCGACAAATACCTTGTACCAGTTTCCCTCATCTTTATTATCCTGTCCGCCCTGGACCGAAACAACGTAAGAATTCTTGGTGTGGTGACAAACTATTCATGTCTAACCATTCACTAGATCGGAAATGCTGTTATCTTCGGCTTTGAGCAAGACTTAGGTCTTGTGGGCAACCAATTCAATAATATCCAAACTCTATCCAGCTTTTGCAGTTTTGCCGGCGAGCTCCCTTGGACCCTGGTTGTTAGACGTTTTGGTGCCAGGAAGGCACTCGGTACTGCATTCCTCTTGTGGAGTATCTGCACCCTCGGCACTGCCTTTATCCATACATATGGTCAAGCTATTGCCGTCCGTATGATTCTGTGCGCCTGCGAAGGCGGTCTGTCTCCCGGATTTGCTTTCGTCTACTCGACAATCTACCCTAAAGAACAAGCAGGAAAGCGTATCATGACAACCAACCTCGCTCAGTGCATTGCTGGCGCTTTTGGTGGCCTTTTTGCCTATGGAATTCAAACTATGGGAACTCGAAGAGGCCTTGCCGCTTGGAGATGGCTATTCATTGTTGAGTTCTGCTTTACTATATTCATTGGTGGAATTGGTTGGATCTTCATCCCTGATTCGGCCGAAACAGCATGGTATCTTAACGAGGAAGAGAAGGAGACTATGCGTCTGAAGAGGGAGCGAGACTATGTGCTCCGAGGTGAAGCAAAGTTTGACTGGAAGTGGGCTAGGGAATCACTGAAAGATCCATTTGTTTACTTCCTGGGCATAGCTTTCTTCACTTCATCTGTCGCAATCAATGGCTTCGGTGTCTTCCTGCCTTCTATTATCAATGGCCTCGGGTAAGTACCTATATCGAACGAGATATTTGAGCACCTTGCTGACTGAATTAGATACACCTCCCTCCAGGCTAACTATATGACCATTCCTGTCTATGTCCTTGGTGCCATCTCTCTTTTGACACAGGTCTACTTTTCTGATAAGCTCAAGCGACGAAGCCTATTCATCATAGGCTGCTGTGTTCCGGTTGCTGTCGGTTACCTGATTTGTGTGGGAACATCGTCTTCCGGCGCTGGCTACGCGGGAATGTTTATTCTCGTCCTTGGTAAGCAGGCTCTAGTCAGCTCTGTCTCTTGATACCCATTTCTAATCCCTGGTGTAGGCCTCTATCCGATTTCTACGCTCGCTGTCACCTGGGCAACTAATACCTTTGCGCCGGATTCCAAACGTGCAATTTCCATGCCAATGGTATATACCATGGCTGATATTTCTTCTATGGTATCATCGCAACTATACCCTAGCACACAAAAGCCTCGATATATCCAGGGTAATGCGGTCTCTGCTGGTTTGACGTGTGTCGCTGGGCTCCTCTACACAGCATGCTGGTATCTGCTTAGGCGCAGAAATATGAAGAAGAAGAAGCTTCTTGCTGAGGGTGCTACATCAAATGGCTTGGAAGGAGATAGGAGTCTCGACTCCATGTATATGCTTTAAGCAGCAACTTTAGGAAGATAGCTTAAACTCATTCTGAACACCACTATCGACTGACTCGGCTGGTCAGGAAAGCACATCTTTTCTCCAGTTTCATCCCATTTTACCTTGCCACCTTGTTATTAGGAAGCTACCGGCGGGGTATCAAACGATTAGAATATTACAAGACTAGTTCAATTACACTAGATTCGGTTAGTATCAAGCTTACTAGAATAGTATAATAGATTAACAAAAAGTCTAGATATTAAACGAAAATATATAACTACTTGATATGGCAAGTATGTATCTGAGCCTGAAAGTGGGGGCTTTAGTTCACTTGGTATAAGTAATAATAGCTTCACCTTGTTTCAGAAGCCTAGTTAGTACTCGAATTTCTTCTGAACAGTGGCAATAGCAATCATAATCTTCAGGAATGTTATGTTGGAAGTGGGTATGAACGAAGCTATCTGCGGGGCACCGATTTAGCTGCGATAATGGTGGAGTTACAGGTTTCTTCCATCTCTTTGATGGGGCGAATTGTTTTAGTCTTAGTGATAATATTGATGATCTAGTGGCCGAAGGATGGCATGTTGTTTAAAGTTAGGTCTTGACTAGGGGAATTCGAGGGTGACATGTCGCAGCAGTTCGTAGGTAGCTAGCTCTAATAAGATATTTTTACCTTTGATCATACCATGCTTTTGATATGTCGTTCTTGTGGAGTAATTATTTCCCTATTTATAGTAGCACGAGGAGTCAGCCTATGCGGTCTTGTCTTGCCGTGTCTTTTTTTAGATATCTTCTCGTCCTTTCTCATTTTCATAGCTCGACGGTAGTAAAAGGCGCGCAGAAGCTCAAATTGTGCAGACGACTTTCTCTGCATAACTTTGATCATCACGTCTTGGAGTAGCCTATAAAATTCAAGTAGACCGAATCCCATTGTTTGCGATACATCCTACTCGTAGACCCCCTTAGTCTGCTCCATTGTACTTGGCATGAACTAATTCTTTTCTCTTGACTTGAATAAGCTGATATTCTATAACTAAATGGGTATGGAGCAAAAAACAGCGCTAGAACGTAAAGTACAATGACACATATCACATCACGGCCCGAACGGCCCGAACAAGGAGGCTCGCGTATCAACCCCGTTCCCCGTCGAATCTACCACAGAGCCCATCGGTACAAATTGCACCGGATCAGACGCTCCAAAACCATCCCAGTTAACCGCCGCAGGATTCGCAACGCTAGTCGGCCAAGGCCACACAGCAACCCCAGCCCCAGAAGCCGAATTAACCCCGAGCACGGGCTGCTGCGGCGCAGGAGCCTCACCCACACTTATCACCTGACTTTGCTCCGCAAAGCGTGGCCGCTTGGGCGGTGGTTGCCCCTGAACATCGACCGAATTGGAATCGGCATTGGGCTCTACGCCCCGCGGCGGGTTCCACGGCGACGGGGCCGATCTTAGCGGTCTCGAGCGCGGTGGCCCGGGCGCACGGACCACGTTATCGGGCTCGAAGAGCACGATCGGTTGTGCCAGCGGAGCCATGCCGGCCGAGGCCTCGTCGTCGGGCATGGGTAGGAAGGGCTCGTTTTGGATGATCTCGCTCATGGTCTTGTCGTCCACCGGGTTCTTTCCTGCGTTCTTGGTCTCCTCGGAAGTCATGTTTTTGCTGCGGTGGAGCATTCGATGTTCGAGGGTGTTGCCTAGGACGAGCGTTTCGACGTAGACGGGTCTTTTCTGACCGATTCGGTGCGCGCGTTTGATGGCTTGACTTTCTACGTTGCGTTCCCAGATTGGGTTGACGATGTACATCCGTGAGGCTTCTGGGATGTGCAGGCCGTGCGCGGCTTGTTTGACGTTCATTAGTAGAACGCGGACCTCGTCGGTTTGGCGGAATGCGGCCAGATTCTCGGATTTGGTGTTGTAGCCCATGCTCACGGCGCTAGCGTAGGTGCGGAATTTGACGCCTATTAACTGTAGGCCTTGCTCGACCCAGGAGGCAACGTTGTCGTGCTCGTAAAAGATGATGATTTTCTCGGTCTTCTGGAACTCCAGCACTTGCTCTAGCAAGTACCGAAGCTTGGCCGATGCTACTCCTTCCAGCTTTGTTTGTTCAAAAGTCTGTGGGAGATTCTTCTCAAAACTTTGTTTACCCTTTCTTTTTGGCGGGGTTGATTCCTTTGGATTCATCGGCCCCTGGGCACCACTGTAAGCAGAACGAGCCGTCTGGTGCTTAAGCAGCCCCTGGCGAACTTTGATACCCTCTCCTGCGAAACCTGCAGTGGGATCGATCCTGCCCATATTTTTCATCACGAATTGTTGCGCGCGAAGGGCCTGCGTCATACCCATGAGCAGGGGCTCGCGGTCGGCGTCTGTAGGATCAAGAGCCCACATGTTGCGAGCATTCTCTGGGAAATTTCGAACAAAGACGCCAAGCTCATGCATATTTTTGAACCCATTCCAGCCAGTGGAGTTAATTGCCTTTCGTGCGATCTCGATACCTTGTTTTAATTGGTTGACATCTGCCGCTGTCATCTTCTCTTCGTTGTTCTGCAGATATTCCAGAGCAATGTCAACAGTACTTTGGACATTGTCATCACCAGCCCACCAAAATCCAGCAAGACGTAAGTTTTGTATCAACTCCATCAGTCTATTCTTTTTCCCTGTCTTCTTCCCATTGAACATATAGTCGGGACCTTCACGTTCAGATGTAATGGCGTTGACTGCGAGTGTGAAGAGGAACATGTTGATATAGAGCCGGTCGTAGAAGGTCGGCTCCAGGTAGATGACCTTGTTGTACAGCGGTGGAAGAGTGATCTCTTTTTTGACGGTTTCGTACCGGTGTCGCACAACAAGACCCTGAAGGATCGCACGTAGAGAAGGAGATTTTCGACGAATGCCATCTTCACCCACCGCTCTTGTATAACGTAGCCAATCTTCGGGATTGTTGGCCCAAGGCTTGAGGTTGAAGAAATAATGAACCATATCACCCAATTTACTCACATTTTTGATTTCAGTATCGACGGCATTGCCCGTCTTTTTGTGAAACTGCAAGGATGCGTCTTCGTCCGACGATACAGGATCGTCTATGTTCACTTCCCGCGATGCAATGCTCAGTTCCACTCCATACAATTCCGAAAGAGGGGTTCCCGAAATCATCCAGCGGCGCTCGAATTTCAGTTTGCCTAGCAAGTGGGACAAATTCGTCACTCGACTGGAAAGGTCATGCCCTTCATCGACAATAACTCGCAACCAGTGAAGATTGAAAAGAGGAGAATCTGGCCTCTTTCCACGGCTTGGATTCTCTCTAACGCATCGGGCTTTAGTTAACAACACAATATCAAATTCTAGAAGTTCGTCCGCTGACGGTGTTTCAGGGGTACTATTTCGCAGTACCAGGACATTCAGATTGCTAGTGTGAGTAGCGATCTCGCGTTCCCAGTGGTCCACCAAGTTGTCCGGGACAATAACGACTGTACCAGAGGAGAGACGAATTTCCTCGGGCAATTGGACGTACATTGATCTAGATCTTGCGTTCTCTTTTGCGGGGATAATATAGGAACCACGGTAGGTCTCGCAGGCCTTCTCACAATTAATGAGATATTGCCCACAGGCTCTCTTCTGGTCAATGTACTCCTTCCAGGGCAGAGAAAAGCGCCCAGCAGCAGCAGCAGTCATTTGCAATAATGTTCCAGTCTTTTGCCTGACGGGGTTCTCGAGTTTTTGATACTCCACCGGGATTTTGGGGAAATGTCCCCGTGTAGCCAATATCACAGCAAGACTGATGAGTGTTTTCCCGCATCCCATGGACTCTGCCAATATCCCTAGTACTAGTCAGTATAGTTCACAAGATATTTGACCACCATCATTGAGAGATTAGTGGCAAAAATTACCTCCACAGGCCTCGGGATACAATATCTTATCACGCAAAATGCTCCCAGACTCCTTATTATAATAAAACTCCAACCCGGTCGGACCCCGTAAAGGCTGGAATCTCGGATCAAGCGCCAGGGCCGGCTGTACCTCCCGCTGAATCATGAAAGCAGCAGACTCGCGCTGAAACGGATGAAGTGATGTTTTAAGATTTCGAACCGAATTGGTAAGTAATTCATCCATAACACGCCACGAGATCGGATCTGTTACTTGGTCCAAGTCTGGTTTGGGTTCTTGCAGCGTATTGTATATGTAATATAGTGATTCTTCTTCGCTGTCAGGTTGACTGTTGGCAAGTAGATCAAAACGGGCATCAACCAAGCCGTTCCATGCTTCAGAGGAGCTATCGACCATGGACATGACGGTTTTGAGAGCGTATCTGAGAGCCTTGAATTTGAGAGTCTTTCCAGATTGATCCCGGACTTTCTCTGCCCTTGGTAGCACGAAAATCTGTACATTTCTGCTGTCGACAAGAAAGCGTGTGCGGATCCATTCATGTGTTTCCAGCAGTCTAATCTCGCAGTCTGGGTAGCGGGACGTGGAGCGGGTTTTGCCCAAAACGCCGGCTGGGATATAGTTATCGAAATGCGTATTTGCCTTTGGGGTGCGGGGGTCGAGAGGCGACAAATGAACCTCGGGATCTAGAGGCAGATAGCCCTCTCTACCCAGAGGTGGAAGATGTTCCCCTCGATTTAGAGATGACCGATCCACCTCTGGGTCAAGGGGCTCATCTGGCTCTGGGACGAATGGGTTGAGCGGCTCATCTATCTCTGCGATCTCGAATTTCACATCGGGAGGAGGACTGGCAGGGGGGATAAAAGGAAGACCAGAAGGTTCAGAGCTTATTAGTATTGGCGACCTGTTCCAGCGCTCTGGGCCCAGTTGGGACAGGTCCGACATGGTGAATAGTTGTAGGAAGACAACATGCATGGATAAAATAAAATGCGGAGATAGGCATACATAATGGTGACCGCCTTGGATAAGCGGCTCCGCCTCGGGACCCAGAGACTCCAACTTTCGGTGGACCAAGAGGGCCCGAGCGCTGGCTTCTTAGGACCTTACATGTCACGTCGATTGTTATTTTAACCTCATTATACAGTTCACTGTTCACTGTTCACTAGTAATATTGTATTAGAAACATGATGAGCCATCATCAAATTACCACGATCCCATCTATCACATGCCCCAACCAATGAACCCAATCCTAATGCACCAAATCACATTCTATAGCCCAGCCCAAGCAGGCTAAGCTTACTGCGTCAAAAAATCCTCAATCTCAAAACCCATCCGCTTCAACGCCTTCTCCTCCAAATCCCTCCCAGCAACCTTCCGTAGCACCACCGTGCGCACATCCTGCAATCGCACCTCAACCGGATTCCCACCCATGCGATCAAGCTCCTCCTTGCTGCACTCCCGAATGTAAACCGTGATATCAGGGCCCACACACGCGCGCCACAGCGACGCCATCCACTGCCAGTGGTCGAGCGGCGCGTAGGAGTCGCCGATGGGCGTGGAGCAGGCGAATGCATCCGCCGTCGTGAGCTGGTAGCGCGGGACGAGCGCAATCGGTACGCTGTAGTGGCTGGCTGATGTGAGGGCGCTGACCTCGGAGCCGTTCTCGCTGGACAGGACTGGGGAGTGGATGTGCATGTTTGCGGTTTTGGGGATGAGGGTGCGGGGGGAGACGTTGGGGACGGGGGTTTCCTCGTCTGTGGTTATGGAGCGGGCGTCGACGGAGCCGGCTCGCGAGGTGGGTTTCACGAAGTTGACGACTTCGTCGGAGATCCGGTGCCAGGCGGAGATGGTGTTGAGGTAGTCGACTGTCGCGTCGCCCATCTGGCCGGCTTCTGCGGAGGTTGGTCGGGGGGCTTTGATTTCTGGACCGTCGAATACCCGGACGTGGTACTTTGTTTCCTTTTTTAGAAGGTTGTTGAGGTATTCGACGGCTGCTTGGACGAGGTCCGGGTCTTGGCCGTCGACGGCGATGACGGGGCCGCGGGCTGGTGGGATTCCGTCTCGGAATGAGGGGAGGAGGGGTGGGGAGATCTTGGCGAGGACTTTGATCTTGTTGAGGAAGGGGATTGTCATGACTGTTGCTTCGACACTGGAGCCTTCCTGTGGATAGGGTGTCATGGGAGTCATCACCGGTGTTGTGGTCTGGAGTGGCGGTAGCTTCAGACTGGGGTCGGGGTGTGACTGTCCCTGGACGCTTTGATATGGCCGTTGCGGTTGAAGCATGGGGAGATGGCGTGGCGGCATCTCCGGGCGAGCACTCCAAGGGGTCATCGGATGCGGTGACTCTGGAACGCCGTTGCCAGGACTGTGGTCCCGGTAGGGATGTAAAGTTGGCTTGAATGAGGCCTGGGATACCCGGCGGCGTTTGTTGTCGGGAGATCGACCACCGGGTTCCTCCCAGTGTCGTTGGCGAGAACGGGGATCGTGGTCCATCTTGGCCGACTTTGGTGGATTAGGGTCTTTCTCATGGCCTTGGACGCTTCTTGGCGGCATGCTACTTGGGTGTGGTGAGAAGTTTGATGGTCGAAACCCAGGCCCACTGCTGGGTGTGAACGGGGTCATGGGGGAAGCGGGTGCATTCATCAATCGGCCACCACATCTGTTACAATGTGATGAGCCAGATGGGTTGTGCCCAATTCCTGTGGCCGAGCTTCGGGCGCTTCCATCCCGACCATACCGCCGAGGCTGGTAGCGGTAGTCAGGGTATTGCTGCTGATGGCGAGCTTTTTCCTCCTTGTAATTGTCAGTGTTTGAATTCATATCTCTGGGAATGCTTTCATACCTCTGCAAGTGCCTTCCATTTACTCTTGTCCTCCTCCGAAAGAGAACGCCACTGTTCTCCAATAATCTTGGAGATCTCAGGATTGGCCAAGCCCGGGTTATGAGCAACAACCATGGCCTGATAATGCTGGCGATACAGAATAAACGCTAGACCAATATTAGCCATGTCCATGCATTCGAAAGATCCGATCTGGCTGACGACGACCAAAAAAGAAACAATCGAAAAAGCACTTGCCAAACTGTAATGACGGTGCGGACAGTATCGACTCACCATTACGAGGCCGGGGAATCTTCGGATCTGGCTGGCAGAGGCAGAACTGCAGGGCACTCTCTTTGTGTGATTTGATAGGACTGGTACTGCTAGCTGACGAGGAGGAGGATCGATCCGATCTCTCTCGCAATGGCAATTCCTTGGTGGAGATCATGGGTCCGACAGGCTTGCCGGGGCCATTGGAGGACATCCGGTGTGCTTCTTTGGAGATATGTTGATGTGTCTGATGTATCCCCGTTGACCTCGGATCGGCGTATCTGACTGCGCCGTCGGGGTGTCTCATGGCCATGACCGACTTGGGCAATTCTTCGTTCATAACTTTGTGATCGAGTAAATTGCTCGGTCTAGGCAGTGAGACTTGGGCAGACTCATAACGTAGAGCAACAGGGTTGGGGAGAACTCGATCGTAAGACATTTATTTAATACTTTTCTCTGAATGAACTGGCTCGAAGGCGAAGATGGGATCAAAGAAAGATTGGTCACAAGGGAAAGGTAGGAGAAAAAAAAGTGTATATACGGCTTTGAAAGAGAAGGCAGAAGTGAATAGGTTTGGGGGCGATTGGGCCCCAAGAAATAACAAGAAAGGAAAGAGATGGGGACCGACGGCAACAAAGAAAATGAATCCGTTCGGGAGGAAAAATGGGAAATAATCCCAATAAGAAATGCGTGAAAGACCGGGGAATATCAGGGATCAGGACAAAGCGAAGTATATGGGCGTTTGGACACAAAAGCCCTAAAAGCGGGTTTTCTTTGTCTTGTTGGGTGTTCCCCCCCGGAATCCCTGTCTAGCGCCTGGTTCTTTGACAATAGCTCCTGGGCCTTGGGATTCTGACCGAGCCAACCGAGAAAAAAAGAAATTAAAATAAAAAGTACGAAAAGAGGATTAATCGCGGGTTTTCTTTGTTATATTCGCTATAGGGAGACTTGGGGGATCTCGATTTCTATACTCCCAACGACACGGTACCTTCCGATTAGGCCCAACCAGAGACCGAAACGAAAAGAAGAGAAAAAGAAAAGAAAAGAAAAGAAAAAAGAAAAAGAAAAAAACCAAAAGAAACCAAAAGAGACCAAAATCGATGTGTCAACTCCCAAATCCCCAAGAAATCCCCTATTTCCCTCTCTTTCCCTGGCCAAGGCCACTAGAGTCATTGTTTTCTTTGTCTCCGGATGCGGCGACCCGCTTGATCGAGCTGGCCCACGAGGGTCCACTATGGTCCACCCCAACTTATTACCCGGCCGGTGATTGGTCGGGGTATGTCCTAAATCAGTTCCCCGGCAAATCAGACAAAGAAAACAAATTGGGTTATTTCTTATTTCTTTCTTATTTCTTTCTTATTTCTGGAATTCATCGAAACAATTAATTTCGCCTTTTTAGACTTTGAGCTTGATTGTCCTTGTCAGCTGTTCGATTCATAAAATAGTTATTCTTCAAATCTCCCGTAATTGCAAATCACCGCCATCAGACTGCCGGGATCTGGGATGATCTCATTGCCGATCTCGCGATCCACTGCACGTTACAGTCACTGTCACTTGTGGGCTTCGAACAATACCACCCTTTCCCCCCTATTTCCCTCTTGTCTCGGGTAATGGATATCGGTCTGGATCTTCCCGTGTTCCAATAACCCCATCTGCAGGTTCCAGGTTCCAGTTTGACCATCGGTACTACCGTGCCCTTTGGATGTCCAAGGGTTCAGATCCACCGCACACACTTTGATTGTCCAGGAACTGGCCATGGCTCACCCGCATCAAGTATAGTTTCTGCGTTTGACTTCGCGGGTACCGACATCATTGCTATACACCCCTCCCCGGCCAGACGTCACCGATCTTTTCTTTTTCCTTTTCTTTCTTTTCTCGTTTTTGAGTTGTTTGTCTGATTTTGAAGGTTTTGAATCTTTTGAATCTTTGAATCTTTATTCATCTGGACAATGTCTAAGCTGCAAACCCCCGGTTGTGGCGCTTCTCGGTCCCATTCGGGTTCAACATAATCCCATCAATCCCATGGTAAATCTCCGCCGCCATGAGCCGGTGTGCTGAAGGACCCAAATGCATGTCGTTCCTGAAATCATCAATGTCACAGTCAGCAAAAAAAGGCATTGGACATGTCGATCCCTTCCCCAACCACATTTCATACACAACTGATAAGGAATGATGAAAAGAAAACCACTCACCAGAACAGATACCTCTCTGGATCTTCACACTGTTTCTTCTCCTTTGACATCATGACCTGGACCCCACTCTCAACACAAGGCTCCACGACATTCTCCCACCCAGGAACCAGGTTTTTGCCTAGACCATTCTCTTCCTCAATGCCTGCCGCATAGAGCTGCCAGTCACGGATGCGGTCCATCATAAAAGCATTAGTATCAAACAGATAGATAGTGCCCTGACTCCACTCCCGAGCCACCTCCCGCAGCTTCCCATTCCACTCGTCCAGGATCCGCACCGTATCCTTGTACTGATCCCCCACCGAGTTAAACCCGGGCAGGAAAGTCACGTCGACCGTCTGCGTCAGAATAACCTTCAGATCCGTGGTGCCCCAGCGATCGGACAGCGTGTCGAGCTGGCTCATAAGCGTTGCAATGCGCCGCTCAACCGATTTGCTTGCTACGTCGTAGTCCTTTGTAACCAGGCTCCAGAGATCCCACACTCCGAACGAGACGACGAAGATCGTGCGGTCCTGCCGGGACCGCACCTCTTCCTCGGGAAGATCCTTCGTCGCGGCGGACTCGGCGTCTAGCCATTGCCGGAGCTGCGACTTGAAGTCGGCGATGTGGGTCTGAGACAGTCGGTCTAGATGGTCGAGTTCTGAGTTGTCGACCACCGCGCCGATGTTCTTGCCTGGATTGGCTGTTTGTGCTAGGTTCTCTTGGTGGCAGGAGAACTAATCGTGTTTCAGGTTCTGTCAGACACGCTTGTTTCTCCTTTAATCTCTCGGGTGGTTATCTTACCATTGAACAAAGCCGGTCCGTCCAAATCCTGCCCTGCGCCTCGTCGGATTTGTTGTCGCTCCAGGAGTCGCCGAACACCACTAATCGCTTGTCGAATGTGCTGGCTACTTGGAACGGTTCTGAGACCAAGGGGACGATATCGGAGAACCCCCGTGACGTCAAAAACCACGCCGATGTGAAAATCATGCAGACTGCGACAGCAGCCAGCGCGTAGAAACGGTTAAAAAGGCGCGTCATGGCGACTGAACGGCCACAGCCAGAATAGGCCCCTTGAGCAATGTCGAGCAATGTCGAGCTTGGACCTCACGTCGTCCGCTTGTTTCGGAGACGAAGTCGCCACAAATGCTCCCAAAGTATATAGCAAGCTCCCAGACAGCAATTTGAGACAAGATAATCAGGAACAGAATGTCTCACCGATTGTGCGGGGAACCAGGAGATTATCCGGCACTGCAAAAAAAATTGGAGATTGCGACGAAATCCCCCACTCGGACAAGAAGCACCGGCAAAGTTGGGTATGTGGCGGTTCCTCCAGAAACGCTATGGGAAAATGGAAAGAAGATAGAAACCGGACGGAAGTGTCTATATTATAAGCTAGGACTAGCAAGCACAAGACCTAATTCCCAAAAAAAACCAGAATCCCTATGTGAGGCGCGAATTCGTCACATTTGTAGGTTGGCCGCGTGGCTCGGAGAGCCGAGTCGACTAACGTCCGACTGGACAAATCAGAGTCGCCGATTTAGAGCCACAATTGCTTGATCTGGTATTTTCTTCCGCATACGGAGTCGGCAAGCTTCTCGGTGATATTATGGTTCTCCTGTCCCTTTCGCGTTTCTTCAGCTCCGAATAGTGGAGATCAGGTCTAAACTTACGGAGTACCTCGCATCGCATACAAAGCCCGGCACAAGGCCACGTCCAGGTTCTGTTTCGCATTGTCTCAAGGGATTTGGCGTTCCTTTGAACTATTTGCCCGTCGGACATGCAATTGTTTCTCGGTATGATAGACATGCCAAGACATTATATACTGCAGATCTCTAGAGCGGAGTTTGTGACACAACGTTTTTATTGGGAAATGATGCATGGAAGAGAATAAAGTATGGAGGAAAGGCACGAGGATTGGCCTATTAATTATTTTCATCTTTCTATGACAATATGAGGGGAGAGACATCTAAAACACATTCAAAAACACATCGTAGGGTTTATCTTGAATATAACCTTCAATCGTTCCTAATATGGATTTGAGCCCAATGGATCAGATTTCTGAATCCCAGGACTAATCCATCTATCCATGAGATAGTGTCTTACAAATCCAGGGGTTATGCACTGGCGTTTGCAGTGTCTGACATGTGGGTTCACATCAAAGGTCCTCAAATATAGTTAGTGGAAGCTGTTATTTGCAATTGTCGTACGAGGCTCGTGGTGGCTGTCAATGAGGCGTTTGTGAGACCGTGCTCAGTCTTTGATATGTATAAAAGTTGAGTTCGGCCGGTCGAGACTGAGTCATGATCCGAAACATTTGTTCATCATTCCGATGGTGATTCAAAGTCGGTTGTGTTCGAAAGTCACACTGGGAGGTTTCATGCCAGTAAAGGAGACTGTCGGTTCAAGGCGGATGGAAAGCTGTAGTTGCTGGCGGTCCTGGATATGTGTTGTTTCCTGGATGCATAGCTGTCGGATAAGTCTTATATTCATCGCTAAAAGTATCAGTTATTTTAGGGGCCAGCGCTGTAGATTTGTTGAGTCGAACGAAGAAAAGAAAATGTCGGGGTGCTGATGCACAGTCACATGACCTACCAAACCACGCTAAACCCCATCTAGCCGACGTAAGCCCTACTTCCCACACGTGACACGTGACTTGCACCTCGCTAAGCCGGCGAACTAAAAAAATCCACAATACAGACTCCCTCGACGACAATCTCACAAATCGACAACACCCGCGCTACCGTCTTGACCGCGCCGCCTCCGTCAAGATGAAGCTCAACATCTCCTACCCGGCCAATGGGTCCCAGAAAATTATCGAGATCGATGATGAGCGCAAGCTCCGTCCCTTCATGGAGAAGCGCATGGGCACCGAAGTCAGCACTCCCTTCTTCATCCTTCCCCGCCTATCCGACATTCAATCGATGAACAACATACGCACACACACGACTATTAGAACAACTGGCTAACTGGTATCTCTTTTGATTAGGTTGCCGGCGATGCTCTCGGTGACGAGTTCAACGGTTACGTGTTCAAGATTACCGGTGGTAACGACAAGCAGGGTACGCATACAATCTCTATTCCCAATGTCGGAGCAACAATTCGACAACGGAGAATACAACTCAACGCACATGAGAGAACCACAATGCTGACGATTAATTTACAGGTTTCCCCATGAAGCAGGGTGGTACGTACACAGCCGCACAACAACCTGGGGAATGATCAAAAAAATTATATCCAACCCCCAGGGATATCAACAAACCGCAGGATGCTCATCGAATGATTTCTACAGTTCTCCTCCCCACCCGTACCCGTCTGCTCCTTGCCGACGGCCACAGCTGCTACCGTCCCCGCCGCACCGGTGAGCGCAAGCGCAAGTCCGTCCGTGGCGCCATCACCGGTCTGGACCTTGCCGTCCTTGCTCTCTCCATCGTCAAGCAGGGCGAGGGCGAGCTCCCCGGCCTCACCGACACCGTTGTCCCCAAGCGTCTCGGCCCCAAGCGTGCCACCAAGATCCGTCGCTTCTTCGGTCTCGACAAGAAGGACGACGTCCGCAAGTTCGTCATCCGCCGTACCGTCACCAAGGAGGGCAAGAAGGATTACACCAAGGCCCCCAAGATCCAGCGTCTGGTTACCCCCCAGCGTCTCCAGCGCAAGCGCCAACGCGTTGCCATCAAGCGCCGCCGTGCTGAGACTGCCCGTGATGCTGCGTAAGACTCCCTCTCTTTAGCTCTGATCAATGATCTACAGGTTTATTGATTTGATTTGGAACTCGAACTAACGGTTACATAGTAACGACTACGCTAAGCTCCTTGCCGGCCGTGTCCACGAGGAGAAGGCCAAGCGTGATGAGCTCCGCAAGCGGAGAGCTTCTTCCATGCGGAAGTAAACTTCCAAACCCGCGGTTTTATGATTTCGTTCTGCGGCGATGGGGTTTAATGGAGGAGCTTCACGTCTCTGGGATGATTTGAGGGGAATTCACAAAAAATGAATCACTCTCAGGGGCGCGGAGGATACATATCTGATAAAAAAGAAATGGGAACAAGAAAAGTGACGGGGAACAGGTCTCAAAACGTACAAAGCAGGCTGAGTGGTTGATACTCCCTTGTGTTTGGCTACGGTGATTTCGGGCCTTGGGAGTCGCAATGCATATCTGTGTTGAACCTACCTTTTTTTGATGACCCTTTTTTTTTGAATGGAGTGCATGCAAATTTCAATACTCAGTTCTGTCAATTGCTCATGGCTTTTTCAAGGAGTAGGCGTAGCATATTGTATTCCTCTCTGTGGACTCTTCTACTCCACTTGAATGAAGTGTCAATGAAGTGACTTAAACACTAGTTCAATCAAGTCATTACCTTAAATTCCCCGCTGCCAGTTACAATTCCCCCAAAGTCATGTTTAGGTATAGGTCACGTGGTATACGTCTATGATATGGAAAGGCGTTCGGAATTATGTTTTTCAAGATATGACTGCACTTTGCGGTCAATGGTACGTATTTGGAGAATATATAAATGGGACAAGTTTTCGCTTCACCTCCACGGCCAGTAATGAACCCCTGTTGTAAACCTATATATATCGTAGGATCAACAACATATTAAGACTACACCGATCCAGTCAACAGTCATAGCAGCACCCCCTCAATAAGAAAAGACGATCTGATTCAAGTTGTAAAGCGGCTCCCAGACCTCGCAATAATCTAAATCAAATAGAAAGTACATGTACTCTGCATATCAAGACCACACACATGCACGATGCAACCGAACCCAGCCAAGGATAACCAACTTCCGCCAGAGAGAACTGCGCAGATCCAACACTTAAACCGTCGATCTCTCTCTTCAAAAGAAAAGTATAGTAAACAATAATAAAACACCCGGGGACTAATATCCTCGTCCGGCTAATAAAGGTCATGAAAATCGTATTTTTTTGTTTCCCGCTCACTCCGCGGGTTTCACGCCAACATTCGTAGGTAATCACTAGGACAACCCGTAGATTTGATCCTCTGTCTTGATGTATAAATTCATTTCTGCCTCTGATTTACCCCACGGTGTGCGAGAACAAGAAGCTAACTGACTCGCCGTTGTGTGTACGACGGCAAGCCTCTGCCAATGTCGGGCTGATATCGATCGTATGGATCTTGTCGCACTGCTCCTGCTTGTCGCCCAATGGGACAGTGTTGCTGACGATAATGCTACGAGAAAGTTAGCCAAAGGTGAACCGAAAAATCGGAAACCATCCAAGAGTGCAATGACTCGTCGATGGCATTCGGACATGCACATACCGCTTGAGGCAGCTACCGTTCAGGTTCTCAATAGCCTTGCCGGACAGAATACCGTGGACAACGATGGCGTTGACTTCGGTGGCACCGTGCTGCATGACGGTTTCGGCAGCCTTGACGAGCGTCCCGCAGGTGTCGGCCATATCATCGACGATGATAGCGACCTTATCCTTGACGTTACCGACAAGGACCATGCGCGAGACCTCATTGGGGCGGGCACGTTCCTTGTGAATAAGTGCGAATTGCAGATCCAGGCGATCGGCAATGGCAGTAGCACTTAAATCCACATTAGCCCTTGAACTATACATATACGTGTAGTATCGAGATAGACATGGCTTACCGCTTGGCACCGCCAGCATCCGGGCTGACGATGACACAGTTGCTGACATCGAGGTTCTCGCGGATATACTTGAGCATGCTAGGCTCGGCGTACAGGTTGTCGACGGGGACGTTGAAGAAGCCCTGGATCTGGCTGGCGTGCAGGTCCATGGTGATGACGTGGTTGCAGCCGGCGGTCTGGAGCATGTTGGCCATCAGCTTGGCGGTGATGGGAGCACGGCTCTTGTCCTTCTTATCTTGGCGGGCATAAGGGAAGTTGGGAATGACGGCTGTGATACGGCGGGCCGAGGCGGTCTTGCAGGCGTTGATCATGATCAGGAGCTCCATAAGTCCATCGTTGATATCATTGGGTTTTGTCGATTGGAGGATGAAGACTGTAACAAATCATATATATATGAGCGGGGGTTCTTGATATCACGATTAAGGTGGGATGTTCTTACCATCTTCGTCCCGGACACTCTCTCCGATTGTGACACTGGTTTCCTGGTTGGAATATTGCAGGACCATAATCTTGGTCAACTCAATGCCGAGCCTAATTCATAGTTCTAGAATTAGCCGGTTGCCCAGTTTTGCCCTAGCCGGTTGCACATACCGGTCAGCAACTAGGTTGGCAAGCTCCGGGTGACTGTTGCCAGTCAAGAGCTTAATGGAGTTGGTCGACATGATGTAGGGCTCTGTGAAACAGTAAAAGAAGAGATATTCAATCCAAGATGCACAAAACACACTCTTCTCCAAGATGACCGTGTTCGGCTCAAAAAATCGTTTTTCCTCCGCGGCCCCGCATGTCTTTTTTTCTACGTAGTCCCGTGACGGGCTGACCGCCTGATGACATCAGCAAGCCCTGGAAGCCCTGAAGTTCTACTCACAATGGCCAGTAAAGTACGGATTAGTGCGCGGCGGATTTGAAGTAAAAGAAATAAATGCAGCAATCTAAGTACATAGAGAGGGCGCTGGAAAAAACACGGTTGACCTGCACTTCAACCGAATTCCTTACCACTTGCCTCAGTTTTCATCTTCTCATAAAGAAACTTCTCCACTTTCCGCATTCGTCCCCATAATAAGAAAATCTCGTAAGAACCGAGAGAAACGCCGTGCAATGCTTTGGCTTGATAAAACCATTCCCATGCCGTAGAGTAGGACAACAGTCTAGGCAAATCCGAAGTACTCACTTCCAGCCGTGACGGCCGTGTAAAGGCGTTGACGGAGATCTTCGTAACTTTCATACTCAGGAAGATCAAGCTCTGTTAAAATAGTTAGTAAAATGCGCTAATGCAGTCAAGAAATGCGGAGAAAAACTTACGGTTGAAGCAGGTATGCGAGCTGGGAAGGCGATCCTTATGGCCATAGTCGCGATGGATGTTGAACTTGCTCACACCGTTCATACCCTCAAGTTCCTTGAAGCCATTGAGAGGAACCTTACTGGTTCCAGTGACGAACTGCAACAGCTTGGCACGCTCCTCCTTGTCGAACGAGCGGACGGCACGCCAGAACCACTGGATTTGCGAAGAGGACGCGGAGTAGTTGTGATACTCGGTGTTGTTCTTCCACTCGTCCACATCAATCTCAGGAAGACCAGAAATCAAAAGTTCCAGCTCTTGCTCGTTGAAAATGGAGATCAACTCGGGAGGAATGATTTCGTGGAAACCCTTGAGGAAGTTGTCCAGTTGTTCACGAACCGACTCGACGAGGCGATATTCGACCACGCGCTGAACGTACTCTTCCTTGTTCTCCTGTGTAACGGGAATGTCGTGACCACCGGGCTTCAGGTCGATGACCTGCTTCTCGCCAAAGTCATCGGTTTCAATGGAAAAGGTTTCGGTGATGATATCGGTAATGTCGTTCTCCAGCATCCACAGAAGTGATTTGTAGTAGTCCAAGTCGAGCGTTTCCATATCCTTGATAGACACGGATCGTCCGAGGATATTCTTGTAGACTGCTCTACTGAAGTGACAGTCGAGAACACGACCTTCGTACAAGGCCTTACCGATGATGCGCCCGATGAACTTGAAGAACATCAGATGCTCCGAGTTGACCCCACTGAGGCGATTGGGGTGGAATGTGGTCCGATCAGCGGCGACAGGGATGAACAAAGCGTAGTTGGGGTTGAACATGCCACGCGCAAGAACCTGGAACCATTCTCTGGTGACACCACCAGCATCGACACCCTCCTCGCCATGGAATCGTACATTCAATTTGCCATACTTCAACTCATCCGCGCTCTTGAAGTACAATGACTTGAAAGAGTCAAGGAAAACCTCAGCTCTGCGCACAGAGAGCTGAAGAGGAGGATGAGGGTGGCGAGGCTCGGCACCGCGGGAGTGGACACGACGAGTGAAGTAGTTGCGCTTGTTATCGAATTCCAAGACCTTGGGGTTCTTGACCAATAGAGAGAATGTGCCGCTCATCAGGCGGGGGTTCTGGCGGACGAGCTCATTGAGAATCTTGCGATGTTCTTCTGTGAACTTGAAGAATATGTTTTCCATGCTGAGACCAGCATCGGCTGGGGTGCTGTTGACTGACAATTCGCGGCTGCCGCGAGATAGCGGCTGGTCCTTCAGCGTGGTGTTCTTGCAAACGACCATCAATGCCTCAATGAGAGGGAGGAGAATAGTAGCCACGTTCAGCATATTCTCTTTCTGCCGAATGACAGTCAAGCAGTCGCTCAGTTTGCTCCAAAGCGGGCCGAAAGTGGCGCTTTCATAGAGTTTCTTGAGCACATCTTCCTTCGGAGCGGATCTAGGCTCGATATCCTTGGACTTGTCCGCTCGTGCTTGGTCAAACAGATAATCAAGTGCGGTCAGGATACGTAACAATTTCGCCTGGTCTGAGCTAGCCGGGGAGAACTTGGCCAGAGCAAGGCCTTGCATGTCGGTACCAGTCTTGGCCTGGCGGATATGAGGGAGAAGATCCTCCAAATCACCCAGGATGGTATCGCTGAGGGCCTGCGCTTGAGCAACCAATTCATTGCCGATCACATCTCTAGCTCCGGGAATAGCGGAAAGATTGTTGATGGTGGAAAGTGTATCGCGGAATATCTTGCCATTGCACTCACGAGCCGCAAGGATGTGGACAACTAATCGGAAGTTGTGATCCGGAACGACAGGAGGCTCGATGGTTCGCTTCTTGCGCTTCCCGTCCCCGGTGGGCTCCTTGGAATCTTCAGGTTTCTTGGCTTCAGCTGAAGTAGCCTCTTCACCCTCTGCGGTCTCTTCACTAGGGACTTCGGAAGTTTCCACAGTGGGAAGCGGAGCATCCGTCATGGATGTGTCCATACTGGAGTCGGCAGCCTCAGCAAGTTCGGCAGATGCTTCGATTTGAGGTCGCTCAGGCTTCTTGCCCTTGTCCTCTTCCTGTCGCTCCTTCTCACGACGAAGGAGAACAGTCAATGGCTGTGTGATACTGCTCAGGAGGCTAGACACCTGCTCCATGCAATTAGGGCTTTCCATTATCAACTTGCGGTCAAGAAGAGAAAGCAGGGCATTCAGAGCGAACTTGTTAGCTCGGTTATCTTTGCCTTTGCCCTTACGCAATGACTTGAGTTTACCAGCTGAGGCAGAGTCATGTTCCGTTAGGAAGAACCAAGCAATGTGTGGGTTGAACTGCGAAAGGAAAGACAGCGCGGCGATACATTGTTGGATGACCATAATCGGGGTCACTTCGCTGCTGACGCTCGAGGCAGTCTGGATAGCGAGGGATCGCTTAGACTGAGGCGTCTTTTGTGCTCCTGGTGCCTTTGCACGCAGAGAAAGATGAGAAAAGCTGCGTTCGATCGCAGTGGAATCGACGCTGCCATCCTGCAAGATCGAAAGAAGAACGCTGAGCACTTCACTCCGGTTCTGGCGGTTCTCGCAAACATTGTGAAGAATATCATTCAATTGATGGCGAGCGTTGCCCTGAAGAGGCATAAACATTAGACGGAGAAGGGTTGCAACGCCAGCCTTGTCGAGCATTTGAACAGTTTGACGTCTCTGCTCTTTCTTCGACTCTTGGCCTGCAGCAGGCTGGCGGTGATCAATGGCACTCATGTCACCAAACTGGGCCATGCGTCGGCCGCTACCGCCCATACCACGAGCTTCATTCAAGTAATCCGGGCCCAAGGTTGCGAGAACATCCTCGGGCTGATCGGCCAGAACAGCCTGGCGCAAAGAGGGATCGAGAGTGGCAAGGAAGCTAACAGCATCCATTTCTTCCGCCGGTTGAGTGCTAGAAGTAGCACCAGCACCACCAGCAGCGGCCGCCTGTCGTCGTGCGGTCTCACGTTCCCGTCGGCGTCGATCGGCCGCTTCTTGTTGCAGCAATTCTTCGCGGATTTCGGCAGGCAAGGCCTCAAGGAATTCTTGGTTTATCTCAGTATCCTCCTCACCCGCAGCAGCAGCCTGGGACCGATGTTCAGCAAGCTGTTGCATGATGACCTCCTCCCGAAGTTCCTCAGGAAGAGCCTCTAGATATTCTGAATCGATCTCGAGACCGGTGATATCAACTTGGCGGCCCCTGATGTTCGTGTAGACTCGACGAGCGGGTTCAGCGGGTTGGGCTTCGGGTTGAGTAGATGGGCCAGCGTCTTCAACCGTATCGGTTTCTTGGACGTCTTCCATGGGCTCATCAACCCCTGCAGCTTGGCGCTCGGCTTCCTGTTGTTCTTTCTCTGCCTGTAGCCGGGCGTTCTCCTCCTCCTCCTTTTGCTTAAGCTCGCGCTGTTTTTCTTCAGCGGCAATGCGATCTTGGCGGTCCTTTTCAGCCCTTTCGGCTTGAACACGCTTGCGTTCCTCTTCCGCGAGCTTCTGGCGCTGCTTCTCCTCCTCGATGGCAGGGGGAACCAAGAGCCTCAGAATGGAGTTGACGACGCGCTGGGTCCGCTCAATATACTGGCTGTTGAAGATAATGTGGGCCTCTTCTTGCCAGCGGTTTCTGGTGGTACCAAGACCAAACTTGACGGCAGTGTGAGGGTCGTCGCCGCGAGTGCGAGTTGGAGGGCCTGCTCCTCGGGGAATCCCGAGCATATCCTGGATACGACCAGGCAAGACCGCCCGTCGGTCGACATGGACGTGAATACCATCAGGGCGAGTGACAACGCCGAAACCTGGCGCTGCCTGCCCGCCAATGGCTTGCATAATGGCATTCATGAAGCTGATGGGGCTATCCATGGCAACAACCCGGCCACCTGCAGGGTCCATAGACTGGCCCCAATCGGCGAAAGCATCAGCAGCAACCCGAGGTGGAACAGTAGGATCTGGGCGGTCAGTCCGGACGAGAAGAGGATTAGTGCCATCGTCGTTGCCGTGAGTCGGGATTTGGGTTCGGTGGACACGGTGGTAAGGCTGAATGGGAACGAGACCGGATGGGCGACCCGGCATGATTTCAGTGACGGTAGCCCAGGCCGGTGGTGGGGCTGCGCGGAAGCGGGATTGCGCATGTCCTCGGGCCATTGGAGGTTCATCGCCTTCCCATCCCCACGGCTCAAGAAGATCATCGTCTTCTGGGAGAGTCAGCAATGCTGTGAGAAAATCATCGAGAGAGTTGGACTCACCTTCCATATCCTCATAAGATCCTTGGTCCTCATCGAAATCATCCATGTCCTCGTCAAGTTCATCCATTTCGTCTTCGTCTTCAACTGGACCGGATGTCAGCAAGGCTGGTGGTTGCGCCGGCATTTGTTGCCTCAGCAGTCTAAGGAGGGACAAACCATCTTCATCGAGGTCATCGATTTCTTCGTGAATATCACCACCTAGAGCATCTCCATGGATATCATCAACACCGGAACCATTGAGGGCACGGAATAGGTCACCAAGATGTTGATCTTCACCTTGGTGTCTAGTGGATTGTCTGATGTCGGCCATTTCATCTTCAAACTGGTTCATCATCTCGACCTCTTCTTCGTCTTCGGTCATTTCTTCACTTTCCCATTCGTCCTCTGCGCCATCTTCGAGGCTTTCGTTGTCTCTGTCACCACCGATTTCTCCATCATACATGTCATCATGCATGTCCGAATGGTCGTGGTCTTCATCATCTTCGTCCTCGTCCTCGTCATCATCTTCGTCAAGGATGACTTCGACTGCATCTCCGGAAAGACCTTCAATTGGACCCATGCCATCGTCGTCTTCGTCGCTAACGACTTCACCATCATCTTCAGCGACATCCTCGTCGTAGTCCATTTCTTCGTCATATTCATCATCGTACATCTCATCGTCCTCACCCTCCGATTCTTCGGTGCTGCTCTCTTCCTCGTCATGACGAGGCTCTAGCATGCCGAGAGTGGAGTGGCGGAAGAGGTCAGGTGTTTCTTCGCGTTCATCTTCCATGTCAGAAACGGAAGTTGCCGATGAGATCTCATCATCCTCGTTATCACCTTGGATAGTGATGTCCGAGGTCTCGCTGAGAAGTACGGCAGTCTGGGTAAGTTTATTCAACGGACGAAGAATATACTTAATGACACGTCTAGAGGACGGGAAATTCAAGTCGACATCGGCGACGGAAGAAGTGAGCGCGGGGATAAAATTCTTTTCGAACATGGTCTTCGCGAGCTGCCTGGTTGAAGTTGGGAAGCCCGCATCGTTGGTGAAGGAGTAGCCGCTGAGCATTTTATCGAAGAGGTCAGCAAGAGACATGAGCTTGGAATACTTGACATCTAGGGGTTCAGTAGAGGCCATAGCATCCTTGTAGGACCGGAGAGCATGCTCTAGCACAAAGCGGCGGACAAAAGCAAGCTCAGGCTCATCCTCCTCATACTTAGGGTCGGTACGACGTTTACCAACACCACCAAATTCACCGGTCTTGGTGCAAAGCGCAACAAGCACTTGCATGGTCCATGTGGAGGTGATACTGCGCTTTTTGAACACCAAAGACTCATCATGATCCATGGTACCAAGGGGAACAAGCACGTTCAGCAAATAGTTGAGGACGCCAGAGCGCGGTTTGGAGGGTGTAGTGGCTAGAGGATCAGCCTTGCGGGAAAAGTTGATGAACTCGACTTTAGTCCGGTTGTAAGAGGAAAGAAGTTCCGTCAAGCACTGAAGGAGCAAGCAGCGGTAGATGTAAATCGGATGGTCATCTGCCTTGAATTGGGGCTTTTCTGCCTTCTTGGAACCGCGAGATGTTTGTGCTGCGGCAGTGCTCGAAATCGAAGGTGTTGGCTCGTCCACAGCCATCTCAACATCAGTTTGAGTATCGGATTGGTCAGCTGCCTGCTCCGAGAATTCAAGACTGGTTTCTTTGTCGTCCACATCCTTGTAGGACAGAAGCTCCGAAAGCAGGTAATGAATAACACCATCCGGGTTCTCCACAATTGGGGCCTTGAGTTCGGCACCCTTGGTTTGGGCCTTGCCCTTGTCCGTGCCTTCAGGGGCAGATGCTTCACCCGCTGAAGATGATTCTGGCTTCGGCTCTTCAATAAAGACACTGGCTCTTCCTCGCTTTTGCTGCCGATCCTTGTCGGCCTTCAATCCAAGAACCTGTGGACGTTGATGGTTGTCATATCGGAGCAACCGTAGCTTTTCATTTGTAACCTCCACAAAGATATCAGGAGCTCTCAGCACGAGGTGATACATATGTCGTACATAGCCGTTCGTGTCCATCTGACGGGTAGTCTTGGACTCAAAGTTGGCCACAATTTCGCTCCTCATGATCTGCCGGATAGTAGCTTCGTCTTCGACGATGTGACGAAGAATCAGCATGAAGGCACTTTGGAGTTTATCGTTTGTAGCGCTAGAAAGTTGTTTAACCATCACGAACAAACGCTGAAGGTTTCGCTTCTCACCAAAGCGAGCGGCAATGCTGCGCTCGCGGGTGAGAATGACAAGAACACGGCACATGGAGAGCGCGAGTGTATCATCCTTGCCCACTCGGGGTAGGATCTCGACAAGAGCTTCAAATAGCTGGGTCTTCTCATCGAGGGAGACAAGTGGATCTTCAAGACGGGCTGGTTCATCGCCGCTGGGGTTGGGATCATCAAGACTTGGCAGTTTCCAGGCAATCTGGGGAGGCTGGCAATCATCAGACAGAAGCTTCTCGAGAATGAGAAGGACGTGTCCAACCCAAGGGAAGGTTTCTTGGTCGGCCTTTTCGGGTGTTGGGAGCTTGATAAATCCAAGGAAAGTCGAGAAGCAATCTTTGAGCTCTTCAAGAGTGGCGAGGTACATGTCAGGATCTTGAAGGGTCAGTGCGAGAATGTGGGCATAAGCTGCAATCTTTTTGCCAGCTGTCTGGAAGTTCTCCATTTGTAGAGAGACTAGCGATTGAACGAGGGTCTCTCCAATGTCTCGACGGAAGTTGACAGGCTCGTTGTGCTTCTTGATAGCCGAGGTGATCAAGTCAGACAGCTCGAAAGAGACATCATGATGTTCATTTAGAATATCCAGAGCCCGATCGATCAGGTTTGACCGAATGTTTTGCCTCTCTGCATCCAGATCTTCGATTGTGACCATATGGCGACGTTTCACCGGTTCTCCCTGAGGGGGCGCGGTAGATTCGGAAGAGCTTGCCCCGATATTACGACTCTCGGGCCGACGCTGGTTCGATGACTCGCCTCGGTCATCGCTATCCATGTCATCATTGTCGTTGAGAACATTGTCTAGAGCTTCGGCCAAATTGCGGTGCATGTCGGAGTCAATATCGCCTCCGGGGAAAGGAGGACGTTGCGCCTGAGCTAGAATCAACTGGAGGGCTCCAGAGCGGTCTAACGAATTGGCAGCATTGAAAGGTGGAACCTCTCCAAGACCAGGGTCATCGAGGAGGTCGATGCCAGAAGCAGACTCGGGTAGTCCGGTTTTGATATCGCCGGGACTCGGGGGTACTCTGGGAGGGGCTCGTAGCCACTGCTGGGCCTTGCAGTATTCTTCAGCCGCCGTTAAAAGATTGTTGCAACGATAAAGGGCTTCTTTATTGAGATCAACATCCGTGTACCCTTTCTCAAGCAAGGCAGTTGCTCGTTCCGTGTGGACCACGAATGGTTTCTTGGGCACCTCTACCAAGACGGGCGGGGTATCTGCTTTACGAGCCGCGCCAGCCTCGTATTCACCATCCAAGGAGAACCGCATGATATCAATCAACAATCGGACAATTGGACTCGATGACTGGGTCGCAAAGTCCGAGTTCCACATGTCTCTGGCCATGGGCAAGATCTCCATGCGAAGATCCACCAAGAGTTGACCTGGCTGGAAGTAGTCGGGACGGTCGCGGTCCCGGTCAGGGTGAGAAGTCAAGGCTTGTGTCTGGCTAGAGTCCACGATGAATTTCCCAGCAGTGAGGTCTGCGAATAATCCAAGAATGATTTTAATTCCACCATATCCGGATGCAAGCCGGTCAGCAAGCTCCTTGTCTTGGTCGGGAATAGACTCCGCAGATGGAAGGGACTTGATATCACTCAAGAAGACGTCACAGATGTCTTTCAATACTTTGAGGCCGTTGTTTTTATTGAACGAGACGAGAACTGAAGTCAAGTAGTTCGGACTGGGACGATCTGAGGAGACTTCATAAAGAAGGTGCGAGAAGTGTGAAAGGATGACAATGAGATATGCGAAACGATGCTTGGGGCTGTTGCTGGAATTGGCCGGGTCGAACTGCAGTTGGCGAAGAACACCTTCAGCAATGGCGTCTGAGACCAAAAATGCATTCGCCTTCTGTTTCTGCAGCGGATCTGTGCGTCTCTTGCCGATAATCCCGAGTCCGAGGTTGTGCAAGAATCCCGTAATCGAGGTTGGCAGAGCGCTTAGAAGGTAGCGAAGCGTACGCGCATTCTTGAAAGCAGGACACTGTTCATCAACTTCGGTGTCATCTTCTTTCGGACCCTGGCCCAACTGAGCTGGAGCAGTCTCTGATGCACTAGTGCCCTCACGTTGAGGTTCGGCGCCAGGCGTTGCTGAAGGCTCCTGGGGGTTCCCAGTAACCGGAGCAGCCTTTGACTTTCCAGAGCCATGCTTCTCAGCAGAGGCCTGTGTCGCTTTCAGCCACTTCTCGGGGATGTTCTTCTCCAGTAGAATACCTTCCCACACGCAAGAAGCAAGAAGGTTGCTCAATGAGGAGACTAGGGAACAGTAGTGGTCCGCAAGGTTGGCTTGGCCAAAGATAGAGGTAGACTGACCAGGCCGGGTTTGGTACAGTGGCGATGCGAAAACCTCGCGAAGGACATCGGTAAGGAGAAGAACAGCATTCAAATGTCTCACGAAGAATGTGCCAGATTTAGCAGCAGCCGTAGGCTCGAGAGCAGGTTTTTTTGAATCTGCTGGCTTGATCAATTCTGTGAAGAATCCCGATCCAGTGGGCGCAGTCCAAAAGGCTGAAAGATTGTCCACTGCTGCCTGTGCGCGTCGAACAAGAGATGGGACCACAAGGTGAGGCTTCGTTTCCGCTAGCATGTGGATAAGCACGGTAATCTCTTGGTTGGCGTTGGTGCTGTGGAAATCAAACGCCAAGCTTTGGAGTGTTGCAATGTCTAACAAGAACTCTGTGCCGCCGGCCAGGATGAAGGATGTGCAGTTCGTCTGGTTCTCGAAGAAAGCGCCCAGGAATCGCAAAGCTGGGAACAGGTAGTCCGTAGCCGAAAGACCATGATCATCCTTATCTCTAGGCTCAAAGTTGGGGCCCGGCGAAGGGAGGACGTGATCTAGATCCCCAACGACAAGCTTAGCGCCGTTAGGCAGAGTGTTGGCGTTGAGCTGGGGAGCACCAAACGAGGCAGGGTCGTCTATGGGTGCATCAACGGCTGTGCCGATCTCTCGGAACAATGAAAAGACATCTCCTGAAAGAGTTGTTTTGCCGTCGGCATCTTGGGTCCACATTTTTGTGCCCATACCTAGCTCCCATGCCTTGACTCGCCCCAGAACGTTGATACGAGCAGCCATTACAAGAACGGCAGACATGATAGAGGTTTTCAATGCTGGGTGGTGTCGGACAAGCTCATCAAAGGTCGTGCCTAACGAACGAACCAGTTCTGGGTCATCCTTAAGGCACTTGATATGCTCGGGGTTCTCGAAGATCTCGAAGAAACTTTCTAGTGCATCGGAGGACTGGAAGAGGTCCAAACCGGAGGAGTTCAAGCAGATAGCTCCAAATGCGCCAGGGATACAAGCAAGAGCATCAGCCGCGGGCATTATGCCAGGTGCGAGAGGGGTGTTCTGGGGTCTGACGATGGCATACTCGCGATCCTTTTGCTTTCCCTCGGACTGAATAGCGGCTTCGGCGCTGGGCGGTTGAGTGGCGGAGGGTTCGGCCTCGGTGTCGGCCTCAGTCTCCCGGTCTTCAGGCTCCACGGCCGGCGGCTTCTCCAGAACGTGAAGTTCACGACCCATGACCGCAGCAAGAAGGCTCTTGCTGAGGCCAGCCTCGGCGATGACAGCATAACTAGTAGGCTCGTTGTGAATGAAGCTGCTGAGAATGTTGACGGCGTTGCTCCAAACATGTGAACCGAACACACGAGCATTCTCGAACACAAGGCGAAGAGAAGTCAACAGCTGAGGCGAATCGATCAAGTTGCGCAGAACACGATCGAAGCCTCCGCCATTGTGCTGCATGATGTGGTTGACGAAACGGAACATCCAGCGCAGAGTCTGCTGCTGAAAGTAAGGAATTTGATAGTCAACCGAAGGGTTTTTGTATTTAGCAGGAAATCCATCCCCTCGATTGACCTTCTCAAACGCGGTCTTGGTCTCGTGATCAATCAAATCAGACATGGCGTCAAAACCCTTCGCTGTTGTCAATGTACCCAGTGCATCACGGACCGCGTGCACAAATGTGTCAAGGAACTCCATGATACGGGAATAGACTCGGCGGGATTTTTCAGTCCGCAGATTCAAGATGTCAACAAACATGGGAATCAGACCTGCTGCAACCAGGGTCTCCGGAGTACGTGTGCTCGAGCTTGGGAGAGTGCGTAGGAGTGCAAGCAACGCATCTCGCCACTCATCGTAGTAAGCATCATCCGGGTCGTTGTTTTCGGGGCCTAGTTCATTGACCATTTTACGGGTCAAGAACATGAGAATTCCGTGGTTGACATTGACGCTCAAAGCTGCACAGACGTCGATAGCACGAACCTTGTGCTTGGCCAAAGCATCCAACGCCTGGATCGCCAAAGTTTGGACAGACCGAGAGACCGCGAGGTCACCACTGGCACCGAGATGAACCACTTCAGCGAGCTGGTAAGTAAGCTGAAGACGCTTCGGTTGTTCCATATCAGATTGAAGGACCTTTGCTTGGAAGGTACTCTCCGGCTGAACATGGGCCAGATTTGTCACTGCCAGTGCCTTGATGGAAAGAATCTGTTCGCGCGTAGCACGCGACGTTGTCAACGCCTTGGCGACTCGGAGCTTGTGAAGCAGCTCATATTTTGATTCAAGGGGCAGATGAGGCAAGTTCGCCGCAAGAAGATCTTCCACCTTTGCAGTTGAAACTTTTGAATAGGGAAGCTCTAGGACTTTACCCGCTCGTGTAGCCTCTTCTGCCTTCCCACCGATAACAGCTGGTGATTCATCTCCATTCGAGGCCTGGTTGGAATGAGGAGTGGGGTGTGCGCTACGTCGCAATGGAGTTGGCGTAGCTGGAACGTGTGAGCCGTGCTCTGTTTGGCCAAATTCGGACGTAGTTCTGGCCTGTTCAGAGCCTGAGGGATAGTACAGGACTCGAACATCTCCCCATTCCTCCCAGCCATCGTCATCACGCACGAGGGAAACCAGTTCATTGGCGTTGACTTTCGTCTTGGCTGTGATTTCCTTTCCCTTGGTTAAAACGGGGGAAGACGTGCCAAACGGTGTTTTACTGGCGATGGCTGGACGCGGGAAAGGAGCCGCGATTTTCTGCAACTTTTCGAGATCAAGCGCATAGTGGGACTGCAATACGGACTGTTGATGGGTGCCACGCTGGCGAGAGTGGTATCGTTGAGCTAAGCAAAGAGACAGCCGCAATGTAGATTGTAGGAGAGAAAGTGAGGTGGTGTTCAACAGGTCACCTAGGCGATCGCTGCTGCTGTACAGGCTTCGGTTCCCACATTTCTCGAGCAAAAGGCGAGAAAAATCAAGAACTGCTTCCACAAGCTCTCTATCTCCTTCAGGGCCGTATCCCAGGGCATTTAGTTTAGCATCAACACCCTCTGCTGGCTTCTTGCTCTCATCGGCCGAATATGATTCCTCCAAAACACTTCGGGCAAACAGTTGGGTCTGAGGGCCAGTATTCAGGAGGTATTTGTCCACAGCTGAGGCCAGAATCTCGTCGAATCGGTCCAAGACATTGATCCAATGGTAGAGATCACCGCGCGGGAACGGCCATAGCTTAGGGAATGTGTTGAGAAGCGACGGGAGCTCTGGAACGGGAATACTTGTGGCATGCGCTATGAATTCTTGCAAAAATGGTGACTGTGATGGAAGGAAAAAAATTTTAGTTGGGTTGCACATCAGGCTGTCGGAGAGTAACTTACGATTGTAGCCTCATGCTTTTGGCTGGCGACCTTCTTAATTCTCCCCATGGTAACGACCGATTGACCAGTCAAACATGAGGGAGTTGAGAGATTCCAGGAGGGTTGTCTCCTAGAGAGGGTTGGGTGAAAAGGTCGTAAAGACCGGTGTCGCGGAGAGAGCGCGAAGATGCCTTATGACGTTTTTGATGCTTTTTTGTTGCCTCAACGAAAATCGAATCGACTCAACGTGATGGGGACCTGAGTAATGTTTCACTGTGAATAAAAGGCAATTCTAAGCGATGCTAGATCGAATTTACCATTCAATCGTGAAGGTACTTGGGTGAGAAAGCTCAAATCGATAGCTGAGAGATGAGATATCGCAAGTCGGTCAAATAAGGGAAAACGGGTGCAGGTCGTTATCCCTCAAGGTTTGACGTGGAGCTATTAAGATGGATATGTCAAAGGGAAAAGATGAAGGAGGGCGGATGGTTGATAGAAGAGAAGAGAAGGACGCAATGTGAAGAGAAGCTGGTCTTGCCGGCAAAAGGCAGAAGGGCGGAGCGGCTCTCTGCATTTCCCCCCGCTAGGCCTCAGGCATCGACTGCCTGTCTTTACTTCCAGTTTGTCGGCACAAATATGATGCAACCCTGGAATTATTGGATTTAATCTTACATACAGAGAGCTCCAATGAAATATGCTTGACCACAATCTCTCAACTATTTTTGAAAAGATGTGGGAGTTCAGAGTAAAAGCCTGCTAGAAACTTATTGATATGCGGTGAACCACATCCCTAAGAAAACGCATGCATGCTATACAAAAAACCAGCCGCAAATATTATAGAGATCTCTCAAACAAAATTCACATGCTTTGAAGTTCTCAAATATGCACCTACTCCTTCCTGGCAGGCAGGTCTCCGTCCCATTGAATTTTCATTGTCATTGGGAACGGAGAGAAGCTACTGTGCTCGGCATCCATATACATGGCGATTCCTCCTAGTCCGTCAAGCCTCTTCAGATGGCCTTGGAGTCCAGGGGCGCGACGGACATTATCCAGTCGTCCAAGTACCTTGAGCATAGTGGAAAGTGCAAGAGGACACATTTTAACACCGAGGCATTCATGAGGACCGAAGCCAAAGTGGGCGTACAGGCTCATATCACGGTCCAGACGGACCTTGTCGGGATCGGGGAACGCAACAGGATCACGGCCTGCAACAACCTATATTTCGTACAGTCTGTTAGCATCTGAATGCCAATAGAGAGATAAAAAAAGGACACAAGAACTTACCAAGTTACAAATGATCTCCTGGCCAGCTTTCAAAGTGACCTTCTCGCCGTTATCTTCGACCACCGTTGGCTTAGTGACAAATCGTGGCAATGCTACCGAGCATCGGAGTCTCGCTCCTTCCATGAAGCTGTAGACAGTTAGTATGGCCTCTTAAATTGTAATGGGATATGAAGAAACTTACTATCGCACAAGAAGCTCGTCAGCCTCAGGAGTGTCCTCTCTAGACAAGCGCTGGATTTCAACCAGATGCTCAGCCGCTTCTTCGGAGAGGTAATAGTCAATGCATTGGGAGAAAAGCTGGCCTTGATTGGCAACCAATGCACCGGCCGTGGGAAGAATGTGCGACCACACAACATCCTTAACGGGCAATTTGCTGTCGAGTAAGCGTTGGATCATGTGGACGCCATAATCGCTCAAAATATCATGGCGGTGTAGACGGCTGACCAGACTGGAAATGAATCCAGTCTTAGCAACGAGTTCAACGTTGGCTAGCGTCAGTTCGCCCAGCTGCTGTGCAACATTACGAGCAGTCTGGCAAAGTTGGAAAGACTTGGACACGTCAACATCGTAGAAAATAGAAGCGAAGATAACGGCCAGGATCTGATACAACTCCTGTTCACTGAACACGCCTCTTGGGTTTGACTCTGTCTTGAGAGACAGGGAGAAGACATTGGCACAGAAGTGAACTTGGGCGAGAACGGCAACATCGCGAACGATGTCGACCTGATTGACGCCAGCAACCTTGAATGAGTTTCGCTCGAGGAGTTTCAGAGTAATGTCCTCGTAGAAGGCCTTTACTTCTGATTCCCACTTTTCACGATGCAGAGCAGCACCAAGCATCTTTCGAGAAGCTTCATTGGCAGGGAGATCACCCGCTAAGGCAAAGTCTCGGCCATAAGGACGGCCGCTATTCTCCATCAAGAATTGGATCTTATCACCCCACACTACCTTGAATCCTTCTTGGTCTTTCAAGATTCTTGTGCAAGCAGAGTGGGAATTGATGAAACGGGGCGGAGCCGTGTAAAATGGTCGGTCAAAGTTATAGATTTTAGCCTTACCAAGGCTAGTCAGAATCTTCTTGTTCTCATCAGGCACAACCATCGGGAAGTGTGCGTAAACCGAGTCACCACGGAAATGATTGGGAAAGGCCTTCAGGATCAGTTTGTAGAAGACCTGGCCGCCATCAACAGAGACGTCATTGTTGATCTCATTGAATGCCCAGTTTGTGAGATGTTTCGGTGTGAAATCGACAGTATAGAAGCGATCGCCACGAACCAAAGCAACCGCATCTGATAGAATGGCCCTGGAGGTCGTGAAGTTAGTGCATAGACCGCTACCCGGGGTCATGGCCTGTTTAGCCTCTTCGACAATGAGACCAGGGTACAGCTCGACAAGGTCGGGGTGGTCATAGAAATGCTTAAGCTGGTTCGCGACGAATGGGTCTGAGTTGATCTCTTCAAAGGTTTGATAAGAAGCCAAACCAAAGTACTGACGGAATTCGTTCAAGGTAGCCAGATTCCAAGAACGTGCCTGCTTGATGCCGAGAACCTCAATGTTCCTGAAAACATCCGGCACATTCAAAGCACCAAAAGCCCCGGCAGGGTCCTCAATACTCTCCTGGAGAATCTTGACCAAATCATTATCATCAAAAGTTCCATCTGGTTGGCGTTGCAATTTGCCGAAAGGACGTTCTTGGGGATCTGCCGGGAGTTTTGATTCCCATTGGCGAAGACCCCCTGTGAATTGCTGCATGCTAATCTCCTTCGGATCCTGCCCATCAAATAATTCTTTATACAGATCCTCTGACCATTTTTCGTCCCGGGCTGAGACACAAGAATGCCAGCGATAAACAAGATTGAACTCGGCAGATACCTGGTTTCCGGTAGCCTGAGCAGGTGCCTCGCCAAGCAAGCCATCCCGTATCTCTGCACGGGGATCCAAACTCCACACACTGTCAGTTCGGTTTACGTTGAGAATGGTTCGGACATAGTCTTTCAGAATGATGTTAACATAAAGACCACAAGTAACCAGTCTGGCAGTTTGGAACAGGTCGTTATCCCAGGTGGCATAAGCTTGGGAATTTGACTCATCCGGTTTCGTGAAACGGCCACCTTCATTTATAGCTGCCAACTGCGTGACAACGGAGTTGTGGAAACGGTTGAACATGATGAGAAGTACGCCCACGCCGGGAGGGAATCCCAAAACCCGCTTAGTGGAAAAGCAGTCGGGTTTCAACTTTCCATCCTTGAATGTTCTGACTGTATCCTGTTCTTTCTGGTTGTTGCCATAAAGCGGAGACAAGTCCAAGTACGAGGATGTCAATGACTTTGTTTGGTCCCGAGGATCCGTCTGGAACAAGTCTGAAAACTGTTAGCCTCGGTGATTCGTATAGCAAAGATCTCAACCAACAGAAATAACATACCGTGGATGATAATAGAGGCAAGATAGAACAACACGCTAGAAATCTTGTTCGGGTGTTCCTTGAAATCCTTCCGGGACAAGAGACTATCGAAAAGAGCCTCTGGCTCCGGAAGAGCAGCAGGCTGCATGGTCTTGGGTCGAACGGACCGTGCATATGGGGTGCTAGCAGCACCAATCTGAGGCCAAAATGTGTTCTAGGGCTGTTTAGCAGACATACTCGATCTGTAAGGGAACAATTCCTACATTTCCAGATCCATCAGCTTTCCGGTATGCCGCCTCGCGTCCAAGATAGCTGCATCACTAGTTAGTCGCTGGACATTTCCCACACAGACCAACATCGCCATTGCATGACTCACGAGACAGGCGGGTGCTGTAGATCACCCCACAATTGGGTGAGGAAGGTATTGGTCAGTTCCTTGCCATTCCGAGATGTCGAAGGCAAGCCAGCAGCAAGCTGTAGAAGAGTTAGAGTGGGAACATAGCCAATTCCTCGCGAAAATACAAACCTGAATCACGCGCTCCATGATATAATCTCTGTCATTCACAGCCTCGCCAGTCACGGCAGTTTTGGCAACCTCCGCTAAAGTTTTGGCATCTTTCAGGTCAAAGTGGAGTAGGTCCTTAGCAAGGCCTGTCACGGTTGGCTCTTGTACATAGCTGCCATCGCCAGTTTGAGTGGGCAAGGGCCGCAAGGCTGCAGACACAACTTGCTCAACCTGAGCAATCTTGCTGCTGGACTCTTCCTCAGACATGGTGAATTGAGATGGTATAATACAGATACAGAAGAAATCCGAGTGCGAACTGTGATTAATCTGTCAACTTCGAGGTCATAGGTTGACCTTGAGCCGAGGCCGTATAGTTGAAAGTCGAACAATAAAGACAATAATGTAGTAGTCGCTTACCGGTATATGTATATAGGGAAGCAAAAGAGCAACACAACTATCACAGGTAATTAGGAAAAGACAAAGTGAATCATGCGATCATTTCGGTGGAAATGGGAGTGTATTATTATAAGCCTCCCGTGGTAATCACGGAGTAAGCCGAGAGAGCCATCCGTACGGCTGAATGTACATCACATTCTCAAAGTTCAGCAGCGCCCTCATTCGTGATCGTTCTTAGCGTAAGGTGGACCTTGTGTGTGAAGAGGAACGCCCCACTGGTTGTTATGAGCAATCGAATATCTCTGATTCGCCATGCTATACGGGGTATGCCCTGTCAACCAGGTCTTGGTGTATTTGCCTAGCCAATTATGGCGGATGACCCGGATTACGACTGCCTAGATAAAGATAGACACGAGCTATATTAGCACATTCAATGGTTCAATTCGTAGTGTGGATCGAACTACACACTGTGATTGGGGCAGTAACAGCGGCTAAATGGGTCCGAAGATCTGCGATGCGCTCAGGCTATGCAAAAATTATGTTTTCATAGAGGGAAAATGACAATCTAATAAGAATGGCATGTAAAAAACCCTAATAATGAACTTCTAGGGTCTGTCTTGGTTCTTGGTTGGGCAATGATTGGCGATGCTGACGATGCTGTTCGGTCAAAGTAACCGTGCAAGATGGAGCTGAAACCTATGGGGTAGATGGGGCGATATCATTCGATTCTGATTTGACGTTGCTATTTGATATTACAATAGCTTGTTTTTTTCTCAGCTCCCACAAAATCCAGCACTGCCTTGGAACCACCATGCCCCGCTACAGTGCATATTCGGCCTCGTTAGCTTCCGGGGATACCCTTGTTTCAGCTGACAGGCCAGATGACTTCAGATACGGAGGAAATATATAGCCTTTGCTGCCCCAGTAAATGATGACATTCAAGCTGGCCTTGAGGGAATACTGCATTGGACAGTGTGCCATTGGCGGATAGGCCAGTCGAATCTCCAAGGCGAAATGAGACAAAAAACATCTGGAGCAACTGGCATAGCCACGAGCTAGTTCGCCAAGATGCAAAGATCGTAGTATTCCATACGAACCCCTGTTTTCAGTAAGCTGCCAAGGCAACCTACCGTGGGAGGCCATTCTGGGAAAGACACCCAACTATTGCAAAATATTGCGACGTTGGATATGTGGCCTCAGGTGTCAACACGTGACGTCAACCGAGGCCCAACTTGTAGATTGTTGGGACAAGCACGTTTTTTAGCCAAGTCGCGATTTCAAGTTATCTTGGTGGTCTCAAATAAGCCCCGTCTTCAAGCATTGTATCTGCTTGAGCTAAGTTATCATCATGGCGGCTGATAAAATCACACTCGTTGTTCAGCCAAGGGGTATGCATACATTACTCTTTTACTCGAAGCTCTCGGTCACAGAGAGAGTAGCTTAAAAGCATCGCTAATCTAAAATCAGGCAAGCCCATCCGCAAGCTCCCCAAGGAAATCGATATCTCTCTCGATGCCTCTAGTGAAGAATTGCACGTTGCGCTCTCCGCAGCATCCGGTTGCTCAATTCACCGGATGAGAATCACCAAGGGTAGCGACCACAGCGTGGTCCCGAACTCGAACAACATCACCATTGAGGACACCGGCCTGCTAAACTCAAGCGTGATCTACGTCAAGGATCTCGGTGCGTGTCTATACCCCATATCATGGACAATGCGAATTCAGCCCTAGGACCAGCGCACTCTTCCCCACGCACATAGAAGCTAACATATAGTTCTTAAATCAAACAGGACCCCAAATTGCCTGGCGCACCGTTTTCATCATCGAGTACCTCGGCCCACTCCTGATCCCCGCGCTCTTCCTCTTCCCACTCCGACCCCTCCTGTACTTCACCTTCGACAAGCCCCTCCCCTCGCCCTCAAACCTCCAGCTCCTAGTCTGCGCACTGCTGAGCGTGCACTTCCTGAAGCGCGAGTTCGAGACAATCTTTGTGCACCGTTTCAGCAGTGCCACCATGCCCGCCCGCAACATCGTCAAGAACAGCGCCCACTACTGGGTTCTGGCCGGTTTCAACATCGCCTACTGGGTGTTCCGTCCGGACGCGACCGCCGCCAGCAGTACCCCCAATCAGGCTCTTGTGTACGCCGGACTGGCCCTGTTTGTCTTCGGTGAGCTGGCGAATCTGAATGCGCACTACATCCTGCGTAATCTCCGCCGGCCCGGTACCACTGAGCGAGGCATTCCGTCTGGGTTCGGCTTCAGTGTCGTTACCTGTCCCAACTACTTCTTTGAGATTCTGGCTTGGTTGGGTATTTTCCTTGTCAGCCAGTTGAACTGGAGTGTGCTGATCTTCGTTGCTGTGGGTGGGTTGCAGATGTGGAGCTGGGCTTGGAAGAAGGAGTATCGCTACCGCAAGGAGTTTGGTGACAAGTATAAGAAGAAGCGCTCTGTCATCTTCCCCGGCCTTGCTTAAGAAGTTGGCCGAATGTTCAAGTCCAGGCTGGTATTTGGTGATCCCATATGCTATGGCCATGGGCTGAGTGATTGAGTGGGAAAAGGGAAGAAAATTATAGCAAGGCATTAGATTGTCTTTGTTGATGGCTTGAAAGAAGTCTCGAGCAGCTTATCGATCAACCCTAGTTGTCATGATAAACGGTATGCACTAATTACTGATATCATGAGATGATGTATTATTTGGTATTGGACATAGAAAACAATTATCGTGTCCCTTTTGCAGCTATGCATGCCAATGAAAGCAAAAATACGCCATATGTTGAGGTCTCCACGACCAAACGCTGATCAACCCTAGAACATTATAACTAGGTAAACCACCCTGAACAGAAGAAAGATCCCAAGCAAAACGCCATTTCCCCACATAGAAACTGTGGACCCCAAAATGTAAGTCACTTCAAGAACGTTAATCTCTCTGTTTCTTCTTCTCCCAAAGCCTGTAGTGCGGCTCTAGTTCGCGGGCACAGTCTCGGGCCTCTGCATCACCGCACCCATGGAATTGGATCACGAGGTCACCATCCTTGTAGGTGCCGTCCAAAGCAGCACCCGGCGAGTCTTTGCTATAGGAGCTTAGAATGCGCTGAGGAACCAAGGCGGTTCGAGCAAGAACAGTTGGGTGCCACTGCAAAATGTGATCCTAGCAAAGTGTCGGTCAGAATCAAGGCTCTCGAAGCGCTATCTATATAAAGATAGAGTAATAGAGTAAAAAATTTCTCTTACCAGTCCATGGGCTTCCGCCCTAGCAAAGTTGAAGTTGCGGTAAAGCGGGTCAAACCAGACGTCCAGGAAGAAACGCGCAAACTCCCCGTTCTTCAAAATGAAGCTTCCCGGGTTTAAATCTTCGCTGTCCTGGGTGATGATAAGATCCACATCCTGTTCCTTCTGGTGCACGAAGGTCTTAATGATACTATCTGGCGGCACAATGGGTACATCCTTCAACATCAAGCTTTCCAGATGGCCCTGCCCTAGAATATGAGACTCGAGGGATTTGGTAGGGTTCATGATCAAAGCATTAGCCGCGAGATGGAAGAAATATGCCGAGTGAGGATGCGAAGCCATGGCATGACGGATGGCTGGTACAACGGCCCAGCTCATGGGAGCATCGCCAACGGCTTCGTCATAATCTGAGACTTTCGCGAAGAAGTTGGTGTAGCCTGTTCCCGCATGAAAGTTAGATCAAGTTCATTGCGAAGCTCCTCCACACTGCTTTGTATAGGGGTTTATTACCATGACGCTTGGCGTAGTCCTCCCTGTTTGCAATGATCTTTTTGAGATAGCTCTCGCTGCACCGTTGACGGTCTAGCAGTGTGACGATTACCACTCCAGAAGTACCCGCCGAAGCCACCACGGACATGGAGGTTGGGGAGTGGAGGTAATGGATGAGATAGAGAAGGGATAATATTGCGATTGCGAGGACGGCGACCGATTTTAACTGTTTCCTGCGATGGGATGACATTCGAGAGGAACGGGGGAGAGGTAGACGATGCGGGCTCCGCCGTGGAGGTAACGCGAACTGCATTGAGGGCGTGTGCTTATCCCTGAGTTTATACAAGGGACAGTGTTTGTGTTGAAATCAAGTCATAATAGGAAAGATGGCAAGGTCAAAGATCGAGTATTGAAGAAGGGAACTTGATGATCGACGCGGGTACGAAGATCCCGAGGGATTGGCGTCTGAATCCGGCCCACCTCTGCTGGCCGCATTCCAACTTCCATTAGCGAACCGCATCCAGCGGAAATTCCTATTTAGGATCGAAAATGATCAGAGATAACATATAGATTATTTGTTGATTGGTTTGATGTACAGTCCTTTTGCATCGGACAAGACCTGCGAAAGAAATATTGTTGATTTTGCTGAGTGAAGCGAGGCAAAATAATATATTTTATAGATCGGCCCTAGTATGTACATACACATCTGAATACACACCTTGTGCCACACTATTTCGCCACATTTTCTGTCCAAGTATTGGCATAGTTAGGCGTTCCAAGATTTCTCATTCTTATGAGAGTTGCCCAACTGTATTTCTTTTGTACTTGATTCCTAGAACGGAGGAGGGTTCAGGTCCAACCCGTCAACCGTTAACCGGAATGCATCTCTTGAATAGCTTCCCGCAACATCCATGTCAAGTCGGCCTCGTTCACAATCCTCCAAGTCTATGTCAGAAATCACAAGCGCATTTTCGATGCTAGAGATATCAGCTGCATCGTCAGTGGAGACTTGCCAGATAGGTTCAGCCACGACTTCGCCGAAGGGTCCGACGATGCAGGAGCCACCACGCGAGATATAGCGGTCTGGATCTTCTAAGAGAAAATGAGTCATTTGAACACCTAAGTAAGCAAACTGAGGGTGATCATATACCACGTACCTTCTGTATTTTTACCCTGCTCGGTGATCCAGGACGGTAATTCACTGTAGCGGACGCACTGGTTGCAAGAAAGCACAAAAGTGCGGCCTTCGCCACCAATAGTGCGCATGAGAGGCAGCCAGGTGTCACGGCTGTCAGCTGTGGGTGCGAGGTAGATGTTCACATTTTGCGAATAAAGACTTTGACGAAGCAAAGGCATGAAGTTTTCCCAGCAGATAGCGGCGGCAATAGTAAGCTTGACTCCATTCAGCTCTGTGGTGATAGCTTTTAATGTAGAAGGAGACCCCTGCGCCCACACGAGACGTTCCGAGCCAGTCTTTTTTCCGGCAATTTCAAGTCAGCATTAGTCTATATCTTCCAATTTGACTATAAATGACAGCAAAAATTGATTTGCATGTACTTACCGGCATGACCTTTCGTCTTTTCCCCAGAACACCCCTCAAAGGATCGACATACAGCGCAGAGCAGTACAAGCTCCCCCCGGCCTTTTCAATCAACCCAGTTGCAATAAAGACGCCCGTCTCGCGGGATAGCCGCTCGAGGAACTCTCTTGTTCCATCACCACGGTGGTCTCGACCTTGGGCCACGGGTAGCTTACGCTCCACCCAGTCATCTCCCGCTCCAGCAGGCGTATCGCCCAGGTCAACGGCAGCACGGAAGTACTCAAGAAATTGATCCCGCCCGTAGGGAGCACGCGCGCCAACAGCAGTTCCAAAGTCACAAGTGCGAGGATATCCGCCTAGGTAGGCTTCTGGGAAGAGTATAAGATGGACGCCCTTTGAAGCTGCATGCTGGGTGGTTTCCTTGAGAGAAGCGAGGGTCAACTCGAGAGTAGACAGAGTGCGGGCTTGTGCCACAGCCACGGTAATTTTCTGAGGCATTATAGTGTTGTCTTCCTTGCCGAGGTAAAATATTACAAAAGCGAAGGTCAAAAGGACTCGAAATAAATAATTATTACCCCTCTCAGCATCTCTGGTTCCTCTTCTGCGCTTGTATTTCTCTTACCGCTTGCGGGTAGTTCTGCCAGCCCTACTTTATATACCGCTTTTGATTCTAGTAAACGGTAAGATGATGCAACAACTTGGTTATCTCAATAATGTCTGGCTTGAATGATTAGAATAGTTTCTAATATGTGTTTTATTTAGTTTTCCTGTCGGCGGAAAGACCCGTCACCGTTTACCAAATAGATTACTCATAGATTACACCTCCAAGGCTACAGTTACTCCCTGCATCCATCCAGGACCATACCTCTCGAGTCTCTCCTCTTTTCTCTCCTCAACCATTTTACCCCTAGCCTATGCCCCTATCAAGGAAATCTACAGGTCCAACATGGATACCGCTGAAACTGATTTGATGGGTGACCTTGTAGGCACCGAGATCACCACTGACGCTAAGACAGAAACAAACCTTCTGCTGCCGTCTGTGACATGGGTAATCACCGCGAAGCTGAATGAAATTTCTTATCCCGGAGACCAGCATGACATCGAAAAAGGCTTTAGGTATCTATATGTTGCCGCTAAATTTCTTTGCTACCGTAAAGATAACCCAGCTCAGAGGCCAGCATTTGTGCGAATCTACCAGCAGATCCCTATTACTGGGACCCAGATCTCGAAGTCAAGTATTTAAGTAAAGCAGACTATAACACAAACTACGAATGAGTGAGATATACTGAAGGAACTCATATAGAAGGGCTGTGAGGTTATTTTTAAGCTTCTTAGCTACCAAGAAGCATAGTAAGAATCAGACGACATTATTCCCTCAGGCTTCATTACCTATATTATCTGGGAGAAAGTTCCAGGGGTACCGCTATCTAAGCTGTATATCTGGAGGCAGACGCCTGAAGTCCGCGACGCTATGCGTAAAGAATTCCGTCGAGTCTACCAGTAAGTTCATTCTCTATCTTCATTGAACTTATAAAGCTAACATATCCATAAGAGAGCTTGTATCATGCGGTATTCAGCCAATTTCCCCTCACGAAAGCAAGCTTATCTATGATAAGTCGACCGGAAAGATGCACGTGATATTCTTTATCCGCGTGGTATCTAATAGGCTAAAAGTGAATTTACTTATTCTATATCTCTAGGCATATTTCGGGCTTTTGAATGGGTCTCTCTATCGATAGCAACGAGAACTGGTCCGATTTTAACTACGTCTTGTACGGACTGGTCCGACCTCGTAACACGGATTGGTACCAGGAACGCGATTGGCAATGGTGAAATTGCATACTTGGCTTTGAAATCTAATCATTGCTGACAATCAATCAAATCCTTCCTGGCACGGCAGATGTTACCGTCGTCTCGACGGTCATATGGCCTTGGGGTACCTTCTCTATGGAACTAGCTAGACGAATACACATATCGATCTTCCCCAAGCTTTGCACGCTTACAAATTTCAAATAAATCTCCTCAACGACATGGCGAGAACATATGTTGGGTGAACTGGACTCCTAGAGGTCTCAATTACGGCTATTGAGCGATGTTGCCCCAAAACGCTACACGAGCGATCGATGGGTTGGCATGGCTTATAACTTCACGATCCTCACCAGCCAGTCTCAGCCTGTACAATATAGATTGCTATGGCAAGGACTTTCCAAAAAGACCGACAAACAGCACAATTATGACCTGGGGTATGTGCTGGTAACCCTCGATTATTTTCCCTATCAACCGACCTAGTCTGGTAATTAGCTCTTGAGCCAAGTCGCCGTAGGTATCACCCTTCTATACTGCTTCTGACAACTCCACCTTAGCATTGAACCATTGCCTACCGGTCACGAGAAGTCCCAGAAGCATTACGCGCCTGCTCAACTGCGCTGGTTATCCTCGCCGAGCGATGGGTTCAAGCCGAACCTTTACGTGATGCCTTCGATGTTCTAGCCAAAAGAATTCGAGTCTACGGAACGGAGGCACATCTCGGCGGAGTCTGCTTCCCACATCCAATCTCAGATGCCTTTGCTGACGTCGGTCATCATGCATCGGGGTGTCTTGCGCATGATGGCATCGCATGACCAAATAATGCTGGGTGGTTTGCATAGTCACATGCGCTCCGAAGAGTATCCGTTTTTTCCGTGAATCAAATCATGCTAGGTCGATGGCTGGCATGCATGTCCAGGCCTTTTCTACCCTTGAGAACGGGATTGGCAGTGCTTTGGAGGCTGACGACGATACACTCATGTATCCACTCCTCTTTGGATCGGCGGAATTTTGATTTTGACCGGAATGCTATATTCCGTTTATACATACTTGTTGTTATAGACTCGGCGTAAAGATGGAGTTGAATGAAACGTCTTGATAAGTGAACACGCAGTGAGATTGGAGTATAATACACAGAAGACCCAATACGCAAATTGAAAAAGAGACCGCACCCAAATTAGAAATTTGTGGCCATCATTTCTACCACAAGAAACGAGATAGCGTACAAAGATGGCACAAAATCCGCGGTGCCCAAAAAACCGTCCATCGATCTTCAGGATAGTGGTACAAGCGCCTGTTCATTTCCCTCGGCACGCAAGGTCGCTCAAGCTGTTCTAGCGAGCATACGACTGGCTGCTTCGCGGAGAGACGCGAGGCTTGGTCATGGCGTCAATGTCCAGGTTTTCGATTTTGTTCCTGATCTCCAGCCTGTGGTCCCTCATCCATTTGCTCAATGTCGGGGGCTCAGGAATACCGAAGGCCTTACGCTGCTTATCAAATCTCTCCTTGATCGCCGGTGTTTGCATAATCTGGTGTCGAAGGTTCCATCCGAAAGGACCGAGCTCCTTGAGGCGTGTTGGCCGATCAGACAGCAAATAGTTGTCTAGGCCCTTGGCCTTGTATATTGATCGCAAGGCGCGACGAGTGACCTTGATAAACACTGACTCGCCCAGAGCCTCGCTCTCGATCTTCTTTCGGCGGACGTTAGGCTTCCAGGTTCGTCGTGTCTTGCCTGCATTGCGTCCCTTAGAGATCTTGTTGCCGAATCGGATCGAAGCGCCTCCATAGAGACCGGAGTCAGCCTGCTTGTACCACTTGGATTCTCCGTAGGGGTAGACTGGGGCGGTTTCCGGTAGTTTCGGAACTGATTGCGTTGCCGGCGTCGTTGAGAAGGATCGCTTCGGTGTGGCGATGGAAAGACTGCGGAAGGCCGAGGCCAAAGAGAAGGGGGCGGCCATTGCGGATCTTGCGTGTAGGCCTGCCATTGTGTTTGACAGCTATTGGACCCTCGCAGAGTGTCGAGAACACAAAAAGCCGGAAAGTCGTTAGTAGACAACAGGCGGAGGAAGAGGTCCAGTAGGGAAGAATTTGGGGCAGTTCACCGCCTTGAGGGCGGCGTTCTCATTCGCCGATCCCTTGCTCGCGAATTTCGGCCAGAAGCATTATCTCACAGAGAACCATCGCGTTACCTTTCTTTTCGATCTAGGCTATTTCTTTGAAGCTTTGATTTATTACTACTTCCTTCTTTTCAACCGATTGACCCATCTCTCGTCAATACCCGTGGCTCTACTCGGCCACATCTCTCCCAAACATGGTCCAGATTAGTGAAGTGAAGGGGAACTCGCGCGAGAACAGAACCGCAGCGCATACACACATTCGGGGTCTAGGCTTACGCTCTGATGGGACCCCGGAGCTCAATGCGGATGGATTCGTGGGACAAGGAGCTGCCCGTGAGGTGAGTGGATAGCAACACTGAATCCAGGGTATCTGGTTCGCAGTAACGATAACTAACGGTTTAAACCATCGGCAGGCATGCGGTGTTGTGGTGGACTTGATCAAGTCAAAGAAGATGGCTGGACGAGCTGTGCTGCTTGCTGGTGGCCCTGGTACCGGAAAAACTGCTCTTGCTCTTGCTGTATCGCAGGAGCTAGGAACTAAGGTTCCTTTCTGCCCTATTGTTGGCAGTGAAATCTATTCCGCTGAGGTCAAGAAGACTGAAGCACTGATGGAGAACTTCCGGAGAGCTATTGGTACGCAATACGACATCAGGGAAAAACGCCACAAGCTAGAAAATTAAGCTAACGCATGACAGGCCTCCGTGTTCGCGAAACAAAGGAAGTTTATGAGGGAGAGGTGACAGAGCTTACCCCCGAGGAGGCTGAGAACCCACTGGGCGGATACGGGCGCACAATTAGCCACCTGATCATCGGATTGAAGTCCGCTAAGGGCTCCAAGAAGCTGCGCCTGGACCCTAGCATCTACGAAGCCATCCAGAAAGAGCGTGTCACAGTCGGAGATGTCATCTACATTGAAGCCAACACCGGCTCATGCAAGCGAGTCGGGCGATCCGATGCCTATGCTACCGAATTCGATCTTGAGGCTGAGGAGTATGTGCCTGTCCCCAAGGGTGAGGTTCACAAGAAGAAGGAGATTGTTCAGGATGTGACCCTTCACGACCTGGATATGGCCAACGCCCGACCCCAGGGCGGACAAGACGTGATGAGTATGATGGGCCAGCTGATGAAGCCCAAGAAGACGGAAATCACGGACAAGTTGCGCCAGGAAATCAACAAGGTTGTCAACAGGTACATTGATCAGGGTGTCGCAGAGTTGGTTCCCGGTGTTCTCTTCATCGATGAGGTACGTGGAGAAAGTTTATGCTGTCAATTATTGGATCATGTCTCTGACTTCGTTTCTTCGTCTAGGTGCACATGCTCGACATTGAGTGCTTCACATATCTGAACCGCGCCCTCGAATCGACCATCTCCCCGATTGTCATCCTCGCCTCCAACCGTGGCCACGCCGTTATTCGCGGTACTGAAATCAGTGCCGCACACGGTATCCCACCTGATCTGCTTGCCCGCCTTCTTATCATCCCCACCAACCCCTACGCCCCCGAGGAGATCAAGACTATCATCCGGCTGCGCGCCAAGATTGAAGGCCTCAATATCACAGAGCCTGCCTTGAACAAGGTCGCTGACCATGGAAGCAAGGTCAGCTTGCGGTATGCCCTGCAGCTGTTGACCCCCGCAAGCATTCTCTCGCGTGTCAATGGCCGCCCCGGCGCAATTGAGGAGGCTGATATTGCGGAGTGCGAGGATCTCTTCCTGGATGCCAAGCGTAGCGCAATCATTGTTGATCAAGATAGCAAGAATTTCCTGTTATAAATGGCTAGAAGGCTTGAGAAAGTTCCATGATCTTGTATACCAAAGGGGTATCTTTGATGTTTATTGAAAAGGCGAATTGTTTTGTATGGGCCTGGTGTTACTCTAATGCTATGTATCAAATTATGTTTCCGGTTTATTGCGGCATCTAAAAGATAAATGGTTGTAGGTTTAAATAGAGTACTAGTTATATAGATGTCATCTGCATGTCGCAAATGCAACCCGACTTAGATTAATCACGTGTCTCACCGTCACGTTCCAGTCTTATCCTAGCACCTTTGGTTATTTCGATATTTTCTCTTTGTGCTCCCTAAGAACTCCCAAAAAAACAGTCTATATCGGTTGCAAAGCGAAGCCACACTAACAAGATCCGTTGACCGCCACTCAGCTGTTGAACAGTGTCACCCGCCCCAGATAAAGGTGGAGCCTACATCAACACATCAACTACCGTTGCAGACAGCAGATCTTCTCTCCCACCTAAGCTAGAATACATACTATACAATCACGATGTCAAACCTGAACACAGATGCCGGCTCGGAGATGTTCGCCAGCTACGAGAACGAGTTGAAGCTGGTGCAAGCCGATCTGAACCAGAAGCTGGACCAGATCGCCGAGGCAAGCGGCGAGCAACGGAAATCAGCAATCGGCAACGCAACGCAAGTCCTCGAAGAAGCAACAGAACTGGTGAGTCCACCGAACCCCTCACCCGGTTTTCATGCGCCGCAATGCGAGAACAACGAACAAACACAAGAACAGAACAAACTAACCCGATCAAACCCCATCTAGCTCGACCAAATGCGCATGGAGAAGCAGAACATCCCCTCCGCAGCCCGGTCAAAAGTCAACATCCGCTTCCGCAACTACTCAACCGATATCGACGAGGTCAAGCGCAAGCTCAAGTCCCTCTCGGATGACCGGCAAGCACTATTCGGCGACCGATACACCGACGAGCCGCAGGATGAGCACCTCGAACAAAGACAGCAGTTGCTGTCCGGTACGGACCGGCTAGAGCGCAGTTCGGCACGGCTGCAGCAGAGTCAGCGCATGGCCCTGGAGACCGAGGATGTTGCTCGCGGCACGCTCGGCACACTGTACGAGCAGAGGGAGCAGATCACGAATGCTCGGAACAACTTGCAGCAGAGTGAGGGTTACGTTGATACTAGTATCAAGACTTTGAGGGGCATGGCCCGTAGGTACTGACTCCCCTTTTGTCTTGTTCTTCTATATATAGACGTGATTGCTGACCTCTTGTGTGTTGTTTAGGATGGCTACCAATCGGATGATCACTATTGCGATTATTACGGTTCTGGTTCTTTTGATTTTCGCTGTCATTTTCAGCAAGTTCCATTAGTACTTGAGTTTCGCGCTGGCGTTTGTATACTCGGTCTGATCTCTCATATCCTTTTATTTCCTGCTCTTACTAGCAAGGCTATTGCCTGTCTGTCTGTCCGTCTCTGTCTCTCATATATTTGCCATTATGTATACAGTATGATAGCATCGGCGAGTCTTTACACAGCTAGACCCAAATCCTTAGTCCAAGCAATCCCGGTCTCTAATACAATGATTAATAGCCTAGACAAATCTCACGTATCAATTAGAATGTACCAAATGGCTTCAATTGGGGGTATCTCATAACGCCAAATAAGAAGAAAGAATGATATATACATATACATATCAACACCCTCAGTTCATAATCCTCATCGCCCCAAAAACAGCATTAACAATAACACCCACACAAACAGCCACCCCCTTCCTCCAACTCCACACCCCTTCCTCTCTGCGCAACCACATCGCACAACCAACAGGCCAAAAGAACCCCATAACAGCGCCCCAAAGCATATCATCCATCGCCCCACGCGATCCAGATCCAATCCCGCCCTCGTCATCCCCGATACCACCCCCCTCCCCAAACCCACCCTGCACCTGCGCCGCCGTCGACCCCTCATCCATCCAGCGGTCCTCAAGATCCCGCAGCTGGTCGCCAGTAGGCATAGTATCCGGCGTCCGGGAAACAGACTGCATGGCCAGGAACTGGGAGCGCAGAGCGGTGACCTCAGCCGCCGTGAAGCCGGCCGAGAGGAGGCGGTCGAAACCGCGGGGTGCGGGTGTGGTGGTAGTTGACTGGGACTGGGTCTGGGTCTGGGTCTGGGTCTGGGAGTGACGAGATGTCGAGACATCCTTGCCGAAAAGTTTCTTTCCTGTGTTAGTTTTCTGTTGCTTCTGTTGCAGAAGGATCGTTGATGACACGCTTGCTTCGCTAGCTAAGTCTGCGTCTGAGAGTACGATGTCGCCGATCGAGCAGTGGATGTAAATTCGTGGGCGGGTATCGCGCACCGCCTGCTTTCCTTTGCCATTTTCTTCTGGTGTCTCGGGTTGGTCTGCTACGGGGCGAGGGCTCCGGCTTGGTGACGAAGGGAGCTTTAGTGAGGCTGTTAATGCGGCTGTGTCTTCGAGACCGCGGCCGGCGTAGATGAGGCGTAGTCGGTGGGATGACAGGGGTTTGGCGAGTTGCGCTCGGATTAGTTGCTTTAGACCTGCGCCTGTTGTGGTCTCGGGCTCTGGGACGTCTAGTTGGAGGTCGGGGATTGAGGCGGAGAAGCGGACGGTGATGAGGAGCGGCTCGGTGTCTGGTTCGCCGACTGCGTATGGAGAGAGGAAGGGTGAGGTCATGTTTTAGGTAACAGTTAATCCTATGCTCTCATGTGGAATGGATTGAGACCGCTCTATACAAGCAATGACTGGTATGTATGAGATGCGGCGCTCAGCCCATTCCGGGGCCTCGGCTTATATCCAGTCAGGTGACGCATTCTAGACAGTAACCGTATACTATGACTTTTCTACTATACTGAGAGGCTAATAGGAAGCTAATAGGAAGGAGAAAAGAATAGATTATCGAGAAAACATGTTTATGGTGATTTTTTTGATTTTTTTGAGCTAAATATATGTCATATGTCGTCATCAATGTCCTTCGGACTAATCTATACACAAATATATCACATGGTTGATCTTGCGAGGGTTCAAAAGAATGTCTCCGCAGAGAAAGAAAAGCCAGCACCTCGTTGGTTGAGCCTCTAGCCTGTCTCTTGACATGGCTCGCCACTTGTGAGCCCACAGTGACCACGAGACGCAGTAGAAAATGCAGAAAGAAAGTGGATAAAAGGTATCAACTGGATATCAAGCGTATATACTCAAACAAGAGGGTGGTCGTGGAATCCCAGACCCCCTTTGAAAACGCCGTCCGATGCACCGAGAAGAAAGACGCCAAGAGGTCCTGTATAAGAAACATATCAAAAGGAATGATCAAGCCGTGTGCTTAAACCATGAAAGACTCGCCGCAGCCACATTCTTCCTCTGTAATCGTGAGTCAGTAAATCGAATCTATAGAGGATGCTGTAATTCTTGCAGGGGCCACTTACTGATGTTGGGGTTGCGGAAAATGAATCGTCTGCTCAGCTTGTCCTCTTGCCAGTCCATTTCGCTGCCGATAATACTGAACAAAGCCTTGCTGTCGATGAGGACCTTGACGCCGTCCTGCTCGACTACCTCATCGAACTTTCCCGGCTTCTCCACGTACTCCAGGTGATAGGCGAGACCCGAGCAGCCACGGTTCTTGACACCGACTCGAATATACTTGGGCTCCGGCTGTGCCATCAACTTGCGAAGCTGCTCGATGGCCAATGTGGACAATTTCATGGCGGCCTTTCTTGGCCGGAGCGGCCGACGGGGTTTCGGGGAAGTCTTGGAGGCGGGCGGAGAAGCGGAAGTCGGCTTGGATTTTTGCGCCTCGCCTTCCCGTAGGCTCACATTGGACAATGTGCCTTGTGATGTGTTGCGGTATGATTTCATGTCGGAAGGGAATTCAGCTGAAATGGAAGTGTCGGCGCCGCCGGTGCTTCGAGGAGGCGGGAATGAGGAGGGGAGCGAGTGAGGACGGTAGGCAGTTGCGGTTTGCATATCCCGCTTGGAGGCTAGGTAAGCGTTTCCATATGAGGAGAAAGTACGCAGACGTCCTGCCGAGGGCTTTACCCATCGGAGGAGTGTGGCGGATGATGTCACTGGACGTTGCATGGTGGTAGAGAAGCTCATAGTCGAGGGGCAATCAATGTAAAATGGGAGTGAACCTCGACGAAATTGCTATTGGATCATAGGATGTTGTGTGAGAAAAATGGTGGAATGGAGGATTGAGTAATAAAGTTGAGAAGAATCTCTGACTGTTTTGAGGATTCCCCCATGGCAAGTGGATTACATAAGATCGTTGCATGACGCAAACCCAGCCAATCAGCGTCGAGTGGTTTCTACACAACAGCAGTGCAGCAGTGGCGCCATTGCTCGAGTTTCAGTTGATTTGCTAATTATAGACTAATCAGGAGAAGAGGCTGACTTAGGAGCCGAGCTGATTCGTCTTTGCCCTATTTAATCCAGCTACCAAGGTAGAATGACAAGTTCCAACTGCGATCTGCTTTGGATTTCCAATGTTGTCATCCAATGCGTTTTTCGGAAGCTGAGTCATCCCACACCGCGGAGCATTCCGTTCCTCGGAGAGACATGGCTCTCTCATGAAGATGCCACCCACACCTCTAAATGTAGCTGAGTAGCGGGGAAAAGGATCAAGATGTAAAGTTTATGAACTGTATAGATCCACTAGGTTAATTCACGAATATACTGGAATTTGTTCATTTTCTCCCAATGCGTAAACACATTGCCAAGTGTAGAGGACATGTGGCTGGATCGGCTGACAAAGTGGCTGGTGTCCCTTTTTATGAACCTCGAAGCAATTGGAATCAACTCGACTTTATATTAACCTTACTCTTTTGGTTCTCGAGGTCCAATGCTGGCGACCTAACGTTGCAGATCATCCTGTCTAATATCATGGACGCCTCACCCCTTACCCAGCAGAGTAGACCCGAGTCCTTTAAACCTAAGATTGTCCAGCTCTATGAGAATCTCTTCAAAGTACGGGTATGAACATCGCTTTATGAAATATTGCTAACAATACTCCTAATAGGTAGCAGATGATGCAGACCCCTCGGAGGGCTTTTGGAGAGAATTTTTCTTGCTGCCTCCAGACCGGAAACAACTACATGCTATCCTAGACCATTTGAGCCCAGACGATACTATTGGTCTACAGGTAAGCCATGATACAAAAAGCGCCCAAGACAATAATCAAATAGCTGATACAACCCCTAGATTCAAACTCGGCGTTTCTTTGTCCGTGCCACTCGCGAGGCAGCAGCTGGGGTTGCCCCGTCGGATTCTTATGCATTAGATGTAAGAACCCCGTGATCAATATCCGGCACATATTGTCTAACCTTGTTTCACAGACCTTGACTGTTTTCTTGACGAGCATTTTGAGCAAGAAATACACAAACCCAAGTTCGGATGTCATCACTGTTCTTGCAGGACTCGACGAAGTGGACCATGTCATTTCCGAGTTCGTGGCCGTTTTGGACAGAATCATTCGCAATGGCAGTAGCTGTAAGTCATTGCTTGTTCTGCTCTTAACCGAGATCATATCAGTTGATCCTAATTTTTCCAGTCGATGTGCGGCTCAAAGCTATCAAGACGGCCATTGCCATGACTAGTGGAGCATACAAAACTAGCCTGGTCTCCTATCTTACACACAGGGACCTTTTCCCGTCGCTCATGAAGGTTTGAGTTACTCATATTGTTTATATATGAAAATAACTGACAGTCGCTAATAGTATGTTTCTGATTCTGATACCCCGCTGCAAGTGTTCGATCCATTCCTCCTTCTGGGGCTATTGGCCAACTACAACAAGTTTGAATTCCAAAACCCCTACCAGCTTCGGCTTGATGATTTTGTGAACGAGTCAAGCATTGAAAAAGTTGCCAAGGGTGTCGGTCTGGCCTGTAATCGCCTGCGGAATGGCTATATTGCTGTCCAGGATGATATTCCAGAGGGCTGGAGCTTCACCAACACGTTAATCTTTTTTGGACTACGAGCGCTCGCACCGGGCGCCAGGGATAGAGCGAACCCACCTTCGGCGGAAGAAGCGAAGGCCATGTTCGCTGATCTGTAAGTTCTCTGCACGGAGAATCTTGATTCGAAACTTACAATCCTGGCAGTCCGGCACATGAAGCCGCAATTCTAATGGCCACGTACGACTTCACAAACGCCAATAAGCTCTTTGGTTATCATTTGGTTCATCTGGGACCAGAAACCAGCGATGGAGAAGCCCCTTTTTCGAGCTTCCTATCATTGTCCTCCTATCTTCTTCAACATGCATATCGATCCCCGCGGGTCGGGCACTATGCCGAACTAAACCTATTCACACTTCGCATTCTGGTCGAAGACCCGATCATCTGCAAGCAAATTTGCAGCGAGGAAGTCAAGCGAAAGGTACGCATCTGTCGACAGAAACAGCCCTATCTCCCTCTAGTCAGCGGAGAGCGGGTCCTCGCAACCGTCATATTTGATATTGCCATCGATACTATTACGCATAACCTTCGCCGGCGCCTCGACGTCAACATTTACAGGTACGAAACAACCATCCACTGTATCCATTAGCCATTCCTAACAAGCCTCCCAGCCACACAATCGCAATCACTCTCCGCCTCCTAACCTACCTCTCAAAGAACAAGATCCGCCTCGCCTACCACTGGTCCGAGCTCTGGCGGACTCTGCTCTCCCTCATGCGCTTCCTAACAACCTACGCCTCCGATTTAACCAGCAGCCCCAAAATCCAAACCCTCACAACCTCCCTCGCAGACCTAATCGCGTTCTGCGTCTCAGGCGGCGACACCTTCCTCCCAGACCCAGCCTCCTACGATGACCTCTTCTATAAGCTTGTCGAGACAGGCCCCATTATCTCCAAATTCCGCGATGCATACTCACTGTCCCGCTCCAATACCGCAATCGCAGCCGATGCAATCTCTCAACCCAACGAGCTGCATTCAGCAGCCATCGACACCCTCCTCTCAGTATCTACGCATTTCTACACCCTGCTCTTCCATTCGGAGGGTGCAGACTCCGCTGCTGTTGCTGCTGCTGCGGCGGCGGCGGCGGCGGCTGCCAGTCCCAAAGGCGATGAGCCTGTGCCGGTGGCGTTGCCGTCGATCAGGAAGAAGAATCTCTCCCCGCGTGAGGTCCACCGTATAATTAAGCAGGGCTATGATACGCTGAGTATCCAGCCGCCTGAGGGTTTGAATGCTTGGGTTAAGTGGCGTGAGGCGGAGTGGAAGAGTGAATTGAAGCGTGCGGCGCGGTGGGCTGTTGATGATGCAAGGCAACTGGTTGCTTAGATATCAGATTAGATTGTTGGATTGTTCATTTCCTTCTCCTTCTAATTTTGTGGATCTTGGATGTTGATCTGAATTCAAGAGTTTTGTCGGTGATAGATCACTAGGTAGTGGTATCATTGAGTTTTCTATTAAGAAATCCAGTTGAAAATTCATATTTTCTCTTATCTCAGCATCGACTCATTATTGCCTTGCTTCTGTAATAACTACCGAGTAGTAGCATCAAGATGTCAGGGTTTGATCTCACAACTACTAGTACAGATCGTAACTCCAATCTCATGAGAACCTACGTCTTCTTGGAGATTAAGATATAGCTAAGCAAAGTCTCTTGTATTCCAGGTCTATTCAGGCCCGCGCTTCTTCGAAAATCTTAAAAAAAAAAACAAGCTGCTGCTGGAAGGGTGGCCACCCTCACCCCAACGCATACAACACAGAAAAGGGGCAGAAGCCCCTTTCCTCCCCCAAGAGAAGCTTCTTCTCGCACTCAGTGAGTGCTCTCCGCCGGCTGGTAGCTGGTAGCGAAGTACTTCTCGGAGTTCTTGCTCAACCACATGGACAGCTTCGAGATCTCCTCTCGCAGGCGATTCGTAGCCTGCATGTCCATGTTGGTCTGAGCAATCAACTCAGGCATAGTGCCTACACACGCAACGGTTAGTACGATTCCCAACTCTCACAGTTGAAGCAGAAGTAAGGTGAGTACATACTGAACAAGCGGATCAGGTGCTCCGCCCCGTATACATCGATGGGGCCCTTATCGGCCAGTTCCCCGGTAGCGGCCTCGAACTTCTTACGCAGGCCACGGTACTGGGGGCGCTCGTGGCGGTAGAGAAGAATCTTATCCAGACACTTGTCGAAGTACTCCTGGATCCCGGCGACCACTTCCTCCAGCACGTCCTCGTCTGCCGACGAGCCCGACCGCTTTGGGAGCTCTTCCTCGTGCCAGTCTTGCAGGATCTGGCGGACTGGGTACTTCGCCGGCAAAGAGACGACGCACTGGTTCTTGGTTACCTGCTCCCAGTCATCGACAAGTAGGGACTTCAAATTGTCTGGCATGACGATGCGCACAGAGGGGCGGATATTGAAGCTCTCCTCCTGAAGATTGTTAGTATGGGATCATAAATAATACGGTCCTTTTGTATTTTATTTTCTTGGGTTTGGTTCCATTGCACCCGATTTGATGTGTTAATTGCATACCTTTTCGATTTCACTATCACGGGCTCGCTTGGTGCCACGGCTGGGCACGGAGCCGCGCTCCTCGCTGTCCCGCACAGAGTCACGGTCGGAACCCGCACGCTTCTTAGCAGTGATCTTGGTGTTCTTTAGACGGAATGAAGCTTCAGCTTCCCGACGCAGATTGCTGGCCAATTCGCGGTTGTCTTCGGTGTGCTTGCGAAGACGGTCCTCCAGGACCCAGTCATCCCAGCTGTTCCAATGTTAGAATGTTCCACGAAATCGAATGATGGATATATTCTTTTCTGAAACATGTGCGGCAGAAAACAAGACGCAATTCTGCATAACAGAGAGTGTGCATAGCTCAAAGTCGAGTTCAAGTCTTCCGTATTGGCCCGGACAAACTTTCCAAGGTTTTGGAGGGGAACGATCTTGACACCGCCAGGACGTAGATAAACAGGGGAAGAAATGAAACAAGCCAGACTTACGTATTCTTCCAGCCCTTGTAGTGGACTTGATATTCAAAGGGGCTCTTTTTGTCAGTGGAGTCCTTGTGGCGAACATCCAGGATCTTGGCATCGTAAAGGATCTCATGGTGGAAGCAAAGGACCTTCTCGTCTTTGCTATACATAGAAATAGGAGCCATTTTGTCAGAGAAAGGTAGAAGACGTGCTTGTCGAAGCTTGTATGACAGATTGTAGACCTTTGAGCTCAAAGGTGTAGAGATGTCAAGATGATTCCTGTCTCGCAGGGAAAGGTATGATACAGGCGGTAACAGCCACGATCAGAAAATCCTTGGAAGCCTTCAGAGACTTCAATTGGAACACCGCAGCTAGATGCAGACTTGAGCAAAGACAGGAAGAAAGGAAGATGCACAAATGGCAGTACAAGTTGTTCTTGACAGCAAATCCGATTCAGCAAAGTAGAAGAAGGTGTAAGAAGGAACAAGAATAGATCAGACTCGAGACCAGCTCAGGAATAGTAGAGAGAGTCAAGATTTTAGGAAGAGAGAATGGGGTTGAGGCAAGTTGATGTAGATGTAGACGAGGTAGACGAAGTAGAGTGGAAGAAGAAGAAGGAAAACAAGCGAAGAGGAGTGGCCCCTTGGAAGAAATTAAGCGCGGCAGCTTATTGTCACCTTGACATTGACAACGATTCGTCTATTCGTCTGTTTATTCCACTATTCCATAACAATAGGAATAGATTTCCATTCTTCTATTCATTTTCATATTCTTTTGTTCACGTGAATATTTTCAACTTCCGGTTCGCGTCAAACGGGAGACAAAACTACACCACAGTTGTGAGAAGAAGAGAACACTATACTCTGCATATTGTGTGTACTACACTATACACATTCATCATGCCTCCCTCTGAGGAGTCCATCCTGAGCAATTTCCTGCTCTCTCCAGCCCCGCTACCAACAGTCATCTCGCTGCAAAAGTTCACAGAGCTCTTCCCAAAGCGCTTGAGATCCCATCCACACATCAGGACTTTGTATCGGGAGCTGCAACAGGTCCGAGAACAGGACATGGATCGAGTCAATGAAAACATCGACAACGAGATCAAGCAAGGTGAAACGCAAAGAGCGGAGCTCCGAAAAGCCATTCTAGCCACTGGAGTCGAAGCCTCAAGTTCCGAAGAGCGTGAAATGGACATGGATGTTCATCTGTTTGGCCAACCACCTACTGCTGTACCGGGAAATTATCACTCAGTAGCTAGTCTCCTGGCTGAAATGGAGACGGCCAGCGCTAATGTCGAGCGTGAAATTGCTGGGATCGATCAAGAGGCTGCAAAGATTTTAGCTCAGCTCAATACGACTGTTGGTGATATGAGCGATCTCCGTTACGGCAAATTACAGGGTCCTAGGACTGCCGAAGATATATCTGGGGAGGCTATTAAGGGCCTGCAGAACCTTGAGGATGTTTGCTATAAGAATAGCGCTTCTTGAGAGGTATGCTTCTGCTCATTATGCATTGTGTATTGTGCCCATTTGTTATTTGAATACCCCTGAACTGTTGGTATGGTCTCAATGTCAATAAAAATACCTCGACTAATATAAATCATATACAGATACAATGCAAAATACCACGGGCGCTTTCCTGTCTGAATCCTAATTCCGAGAGTTGTCTGGCAGTTCATACAGGTATCAAGCTCTATGTTTGCTGAACGCTTCCTGTATTTCACCACTTTCTGCCTCCAGAGCTATGTTATAGGGTCGAGCTAATTGCGCTTCGTGGCAATCACACGAAAATTGTTCTCTTGAAAGGCCATCTATTACATTCCACTCTTATTTACATGTCGAAATCTTGGCCATGGCCTCGGAAGAATGCTTATATTACACTAAAGCTCCTGTCGATTAGTTTGGAGCCACACTTAAGCCCAAGATTTGTAGCAAAGCTACCTCATTGTTACTTCTACTACGATATAACTCTTGATTCCTGGACGGGCTTTAGACAAAGACTATGCGTTTACCTGATATGACATGAGAACAAACACAATGGTCTAGTTATTGATGTACTCAAGTCATGTACGTACTCTTATCCCAAGCATCAGTATTACAAATAATATATGTGATCATAGTTATATTCCGTGCTTGTAATCCCATAATTACCCATTTCTCGCGATAAGAAGTGGGGAAATCCCAAACGCGTGCCGCGTTCGCGTTTTCCTCCTTCAACTCCAATTGAAACATCAAGACTACATTATGCCCTCCATAAAGCTACAACCACGTTGCTCTGGCTCAGCAAAAAGGACTACGACTGCCTCAACACCGAATAATCCCCTTCCAGCACTCCTTCAAACACCCTCGGGCCTAGCCCTTCTCGAACTACAGGGCACAATCAATGTCCCCTCGGGGGACGAAGATGACATAGACTACTCTACCTCTACGGATAATCCAGCCTCCACCTTCGAAACTCCGATCGGAAAACTCATGTTCCCAGACTATTCGGTTCACAACCCAGATGACACAAAATGGATGAAGCGCGCTTACATGTATGTCGGTCGGTACCAGCGGATGACTGGCGAAGTCAAGAAGCTGCCGCGGCCGATTGCCGTGCTACAGAGACGACAGGCGGCGGAGAGCGAGGAACTGGAGGTTGTGGAGATTGTGCGGTATAAGATTTTCTTCAAGAGTCGGCCGGAGCCCGTGACAACTGTTTGATTGGGCTGATTTGGGGATTTTACTTTCGCCTTGGAATGAGATAAACTAGCGAGATGGGATCTGGAAATGGCATATGTTGTGTACAACACATACAGCCGCAGGACTTGGATGAAAGGGTTGCGACATGCACAGCCAGCCCAACTGACATGGCCTCGCGCTTTGCTACGGAGAACAGCGGCTTCTTTCTACAGCATTGACCTTGTGCAAAAACATCACTTCGGCTTCTGTGGGTATACAAGCCTGAACTTGAACCCCCCAAGGTTCACCAAAGAAGGACAAAGCTCTGGTAATGGATGACTTCAGCATTGCCTCATACGTTTATCTTAGATAGCCTCTCGATCCGGAGACGCGGGCTTGGAATGTGACACGTCTGGGCAGGGATTTCCTCGCCAGAATTCTATTTTTCTCCTCAACACCGACCCAGCTGTTTTCAAAATCACTCATAAATAACTTGTCCCCGCCTTACACCGGCTCAACGGCTGGCGTAGGGATGACATGTTTCTCGGTCCACACCTGCACCGATATTAGCGCAGCCACAATCAACAGCACCGATCATGACCGTCCCGGAAAATGAAGACATCTTTCCCGCCAAGATGGGCCCCGAATATGTCGGCTTCGATCACATCCATTGGTACGTCGGCAACCCCAAACAAGCTGCCACATACTGGATTACTCGCATGGGCTTCCGCCCCGTTGCATACCGCGGCCCAGAAAACGGCTCGCCCTACCTTGTGAGCTATGTTGTAGCCAACAGCGACGCTACTTTTGTTCTTACGGGGCCAGTTTGTGGCCCACCGAACCAAGACCCGGAAGACGGTATCTTGCGCCAGGCTTCGATTTATGAGCGGGCGATGCTGGCTGAGATCCATAAGCACTTGACCATACACGGCGACGGGGTGAAGGATGTCGCATTCCGGATCGCAGGAGATATACAAGCTGTATGGAACCGGGCTATAGGGAACGGTGCTCGCGCTATCACTGAGCCGCGGACGTTTTCTGTCGAGGGGCATGGATCGATCGTCTCTGCGACTGTTGGGACGTACGGGGATACCGTACATACTCTGGTGAATCGGGAGAGGTATTCGGCAGGTGCTCCCTTCTTGCCTGGGTATCGATTGCTCGATAGCGAAGATCCGATCACACAGCTTTTGCCACCCATCAACCTTCTTGAGATTGACCACTGTGTCGGGAATCAGTCGTGGGGAGGAGTGGACAGCATTGTCCAATAGTGAGTAGAATTAATGTGGTTCTTGTTTGACTGTCGCTAACCAGCTTTAGTTATGAGGAATGCCTCGACTTCCATCGCTACTGGACCGTCGACGATAAAGACATGTGCAGCGAGTACTCAGCGATGCGATCAATTGTCATCGCTTCACCAAACGAAACCATCAAGATGCCTATGAACGAGCCCGCAACCGGCAAGAAGAAATCACAGATTGAAGAGTACGCAACTTGTCCCTGTTTTTTTTTCTTTCTTCTTTCTCGTCTGCCCTACGCCACCCACATACCAGCACTTCTAACATTCGCAGATTCGTCGACTACTACCACGGCGCCGGAGTCCAACACATAGCCTTCCGCACGCACGACATCGTCGCTGCCGTAACTAGTCTCCAAGCGCGCGGTGTCCAGTTCCTCAGTGTACCAGCTACATACTACGCGGATTTGCGGAAGCGCCTGACACAAGTGTCCTGGACGCTTGGGGCCGATGTAGACGTACTCGAGCAGCTGAATATCTTGGTTGATTTCGACGAGCGCGGGTACCTGCTTCAGATCTTCTCCAAGCATGTCGGGGATAGGCCGACGGTGTTCATAGAGGTCATACAACGGAATTCCTTTGATGGGTTTGGGGCTGGGAATTTCAAGAGTTTGTTCGAGGCCTTTGAAAGGGAACAGGCTTTGCGTGGGAATCTGTGACCAGTGCCCAGCGAATGTTTGATACGATGGACCATGTCATATCCAATCTAGGACTCTAGTCAATCTTCCGGGTATTATAAAGTGAAGCTAATAAGTTCCTCGGTCGATGCCCTATGCCTCTAGTGCGCCATATAGTAAGCCATACAGATGTCTTGCGTAGTTTGTTCCACAGCATGGCAATGGTGTACAAATAATATACCGAGGCCCCTCAATATCCATCCGATACGCATATACAAATACAATCCCATCATCCTTCAATATCCAATTCCGCACACCAAATACCCGAGCGGAAATTGCGCGCTCTCCAACCAAGAATATTCCGCCCTATTTCCCCAGCAAAGAAACTCTCAATTGAAGAGAGAGACATCTAGAATATACAGAAGATACAAAACAATCAAAAACAATACCAACCTAGTCAAAAATAGCGGAAATAATTAACAAACCATGAATCAACGGATCTACTCCGGCTCCTCCCCACAACCCGACGGAAGTATCAGAAACAATGACATATATGAACCCATCGTAACCCCGCCATATAAACCCGTATAAATTCATATTAATTCCCCCAGAATCTGAAATCCATGTCCATTTCCCGACTCCTCACCTCCCACACCCTCAAAAAAACAATGGCCCCTATCGAGCGAATCACCCTCTTCAAGATCCCCAACGAGGCGGATCGCGACCGCGTGCTGGAGCAGTACAAGGTCCTCGCGAAGACCGCTACAAAGGTGAGTGCATCTTGTTCTTTTCTACATTGTCTGCGCTGTTTGGCTACATGTACTATGCTGTACTATGCTTGCTGTACCACGTAGTCGTCATTCGGGAGATTCGGAATGAAACGCAATTGAACGGTTATTAACGGGTGTTTTCTTTTTCTGTTTGTAGGACGGCAAACCCTACATCCTCGCTGCTGCTGTTGGCGCTTCGATCCCTGATCCTCGTAATAAGGGGTACAACTTGTCTGTCAAGACGACTTTTGCTTCGATGGAGGATATGAAGTATTATGATACCGAGTGTGAGGCGCACAAGGCTCTCAAGGCTTGTGCGGCGCCTGTCAAGGAGGATGTGTTGACGAGTTACTATGAGAATATTCTGTAATGGAGTCAGAATCGAGAGATGGATTTGTGCATGTTCGATCTTCGTATAAAGAGAGTATAGAGCTAAGGTAGAGAGCTGGCCACATGCGGAAGCTAGATAATAGGATGAACAAAGTCCATTGATGATGTACATGCATACGTCTAGTACGCCCTGCCCGAGGATCGGAGATAGACATACACACTAGAGCAAATATAATTCAACACAAGGTAGCGAAACACCGATGCCTTCCAAAAATGGCATGCTGAGAGCTTGGAGAAAAGAGTCGTAAAGGGGCAAATCATGATGTCGGCTCAAAACGGAGAAAAGCAGGTACAGGGAGCAAATCAGGACAAAAGTAATTGACCCGGCCCATAAGCATGGTGCAAATGCGCAGGATAGGACGTGATCGCAGATCCTCGCTACCACATCTGCGCATTCCAAATATACAGAACCGAATATTGCTATCCGGGTGGAGTACTAATAGAAGCAACGTTGTGACAATCAGTCGAGGGCACGACGCAGGTCGCTCCATTTCTGGCGGAGATTCTCGTGATTTTCGGAAATCTGTTTGAGCTCGTCAGTCTCGGCATCTCACGCTGAATGATAAAATATCTTACCTCTGCCCACTTCATTTTCGTGGCAACCAACTCCTTCTCCATATCGGACATTGATTCTTCCATCGCACGGTTCTCGTTTTGCACCTCGATGTTCCGCTTCATGATCCGCTCCATTTCTGCGCGGAGCTTCTCCTCCACTTCAGCCGGCTGCTTGTCGACCACGTTCTTAAGTTGGCC